ATTTGCTTTAAAAAAAAAAAAAAAAGCCTTGGCTTTGATTAATTAAAAGCCTGTTCATTCTCCTGCAAATTGATTCTGTTGTGCAAATATCTTGCTCAGCGGCACAAGCGCCTGTCTGGAAAGTGCAAGGTCCTGAGTTTGATCCCCAGTACCAAAAAAAAAAAAAAAAAAAAAAAAGAAAAAGTCCTTGTGCTCACACTGGAAGGGAGTGGGATTGGCATGGGGCACATGACACTCGAGAGGCACTGAAGTATAGGATGGTATTTTTTAATTTACTAGGTCTAAAATGTTTCTTAAGAAAGTGCAAAGTAGAGTCCTTGGCTGTCCCTGTGTACGTCTGTGCCTCTAGAGGGTCACGCTGTAAGTAAACCATGTCTTTGAGAGGGCAGAGTGGGCTTGCACACATTCTCGAGAAAGTGTTACTCATTGGAGGAAATGTATTCTGGATTATAAGAACAGAATTCTATTTAATCCTTGCTGCCTCATACTTCATTTGTGAACTGCAGGTTACGGTGTAATTAGTAAAACCTGGCTTCAATCAGTCCACATTTATTTCGTAAATAACAGTGTATGTATATGTATATATTAAATTCTAGTCTCTTTAGAAAGTTTGCATGCAGTCACTCAAATCAGTCTGCAGGGTATAACTGACTTTTGTAAGTCCGTGCTATTAGAACTACTGCAACTGAGAGAGAGGGTGTTTCCACTGCGTTTGGAAATCTCTTTGTACCTTCCCATCTCCAGCTCCTGGAAATCTCTGATCTGTCCTCTGTTGATACTATTTTGCCTTTTCTAAAATTCAGTATAAGCACAATTTTACAACATAGGATTTTGTTTCTGGCATCTTTCACTTCACATAGAGTTTGTCGAACCACTCTTACTGAGCCTTTATTCCTCTTGCTCCTACTGGACCGTGTTCGGGGTACTGTGAATAGAGTGGGTGTGGGCTTTTGTGTATGAGATTCTAGTGGAAACTATTTGGATATTCCTTCTGGACGCTCTGCATGGTGTTAGGTTCCACATTAGCAGGTGTTGGCAGCATTAGTGTTTGGGTTTTCTCTTGGTTATTCCACAAGATCCCTGAAAGGTAAAGCGGTCTCGATACTATAATAGTCTAGTGCAGATGATGAACGTCCTCTGCCAACCCTGAGAAGTGCCTAGAAGGATGCTCATAATCTGTTCCCTTCCTCCCACAGGCCTTTGGAGGAGCCGAAGGTGATCTCTGCTTTCTCAGGGAAGCAGGGGGGTAAGCACGTGGTGCATATTGCGTGCGGTAGCACCTACAGTGCGGCCATCACTGCCGAGGGGGAGCTGTACACCTGGGGCCGTGGCAACTACGGCCGGCTGGGCCATGGTATGTCCACTGCATGCAGCGGGAGATGTAGACAGGCTGTCCGCCCTAGAGAGCCTGAGTAATGACGATCATGTCTGTTTAAAGGTTCTAGTGAAGATGAGGCCATTCCAATGCTAGTAGCTGGTCTTAAAGGACTAAAGGTCATTGACGTCGCATGTGGCAGTGGGGACGCTCAGACTCTGGCTGTGACTGAGAATGGTATGTAGAACTCACACCGCTGATTACCTGGATGGGTGGGATTGAGTTTAGGGTGAACTTCGTGAGGCTGCCCTGCTTGGCATCCGCCTTTTAAGTCAGTGAAGAGGCCCAGAGAAAGCCAGACAGCTAGTGGCTACTACCTAGAGGGTGTTTTGTGTTTTATCTAAAAGTCAAAATTAAATGGAATAATTGATGTTCTGAATTACCTCTGGTTAACACTAATACATTCCCTAAAGTTCAGCTACTCTGCATTCCCAGTGTTAAGTCCTGCTTAGTCTGTGTAACAGTCTCCATTTTGTTGCTCCATTGGTTGCTTGTTTTTCATTTTAATTGTGCTCATTAGTGAGATCATACTTTTATACCCAATTTTCTATTTTTGTGGGTACATTTATTAGGTTTTATGTTTAGAATCATGCCTTTTGTTGTTGTTTTTGGTGTGTTGCTGGGTACTCAACTCAGGGCCTCGTGCATGTTAGGCAGTTGATCTACCCCTGCGCAATACCCTTGGCCCATTATGTTGAAATTTCACGACTGTTATCTGCTACTACTGTGGTGCCCTGTCCATGGCATCTTGTTAGTCCTTGGCAGTGGGCATTGCTGTCAGAATCAGCTGGGGGATCCCTCAGCCTGCTCTCTCCCATAGGGCTGGAAAGACACATTGAGAATTGACTTGTAGGAGTTTCTTTGCTGTAAGATGAAAGGTCGTTTCATATACTTTCCTAACCATGTGGGTTCGACTACCACTGATGGTACAGATGTTGTTAGAATCATGTTTCTGCTACCGTGATGCTGAGCTGTACCCCCTGCCCTCTGGTTACATAACTTTCAACTGTTTGAAAATGTCCATCGAAAGGTACAGTTGTTTTTACCTAAATACATTTGTATTTTCTAGGACAAGTGTGGTCTTGGGGAGATGGTGACTATGGGAAGTTGGGCAGAGGTGGTAGTGATGGCTGCAAGACGCCAAAGTTGATTGAGAAGCTTCAGGATTTAGATGTCATCAAAGTCCGCTGTGGAAGTCAGTTTTCAATTGCTTTGACGAAAGATGGCCAAGTTTATTCATGGGGAAAAGGTGACAATCAAAGACTTGGGCATGGAACAGAGGAACATGTTCGTTATCCCAAACTTTTGGAAGGCTTGCAAGGTGAGTACCGATGTAAACTTTTAAAACCCTTTGGGGTAGCTTCTTTACCAGTCTTCTAAACTCTGTGGAGTTTTCTTTTCTTAACCTGACATTCCATGAGTGGCTTGTCATTAGAAACTTTATAAATGACTCAGTAGGTATAGATAATAATTGGGAAGTGGTTGGTCTACATTAAAAAGTGGCCTAGAATTATTATTATTATTATTATTATTATTTTGACGTAGAATTATTTTCATCAAATTCAGTTCGATACCCACTTAGTTTTTCTTTTTTTTTCCTTTTTGTCTGTTTGAGACAGGGTCTCACTGTGCAGTTCAGGCTGGCCTTGAGCTCACTTTGTAGCCCAGGCTGGTCTCAAACTTGCAACCATCCTCCTGCCTCAGCCTCCCGAGTGCAGGGATTACAGGTGTGTGCCACTATGCCAGGCTCTACTTAGTTTTTCTAACATTGGAGAGTTCCTCACTCAGGAAGCTGGGCCCAGGGAGGCAGCTGCTTCTCAGCGTGTCAGATGTATTTCTAACACTGCAGGAACCGTGGATATGCATTCATGCATTGTGCTGTGGGCCACATGGGAGATGGAATCTAGTTTCCTTGGGGTGGTCTGGTTGGAGATTATCTTCCTTGCATGCAGCTGCCTCTGCAGTGGGGACAGTGGGGATGGGAACTCCTATGATACATGCTTTAGTGCTAATTGTGACACTCTTACCAAGGTGGATACATGCTTCAGCAAGTTGGGGGCCATCAGAACCTTGGCATTGGGTTGTAGGTGGAAGTTTTGAAAGGGGAAAGCTGGATTTTTCTGTACTGCTTGGGTTGGTGAGTGTAGGCCATCTCCATTCTAGTGGAGACCTGGTAAAGTACAGGCAAGCTTACAAGAAAGCAAAGAAGAAGGGGAAGTCGGTGAGTTGCACATCAGGTGAGGCCCTTTAGCATCTTCTGTAGTTTAGGGGTGGGGAGCCTTTTTATTAAAGGACCAGACTGTAGGTATTTTAACCAAGTGAGCCTGGCTGTGTTCCTACATTTGGGGTGTGGTGGCGTTTGGTATGAGAATGAAGTTTAGTGGGTCCTGGTGTTCACTCTTCATTGATGTTTTTTGGCTTCTGTGACATTTAAGTGAGGCTTACTGTTTCCTTCGCCACCAGTTTCATTGCAAAGCACATGGATAGTTTGCGTCCCCAGAGGCTTGTGTGCTCATAAAGTGGTTATTATTTTCCAAGCTTCTGAGGTGGGTTGTAGGGTAACATAGTTCACTGTATGCTGTGGAACTGTAGCATGATTTCACCTGCTTCTTGTTTATCTCCCCTCCATTAGTAAGGGAAATCTGCTGCCTTAGTTCACTTATTAGGTACAGAAATAGCTTACTCCATGAGCGTATTTAAATTAGTTTTGTTGTCCCTAATGTACAAGAGGTTCTTTCAATAGAATTGTTCTTATAGTACTTTTTCACCTGAATTATATGTTGACATTGCTCAGAAATGTTCCTCATGTATATTATGTGAGATGCCCTAAAAAAGAAAAATATAATGTTTTGTTAGTATTATTTAAATATGAAAAATGTTTTAAAGATTTTTATATCATACAACTTTGGGAGAAAAATAATTTTCTTTTAAGAAAAACTTCCTCAGTGAGGAGTATGCTTTTTATAGTTATAGCTGGGGCTGGAAAATTGATTATTTACTGAAAAATACACTGTCATCAACATTATTTTGTGTGAAAATGTGTGAGAATGTTTTAGTGGCTAAGAATGTTTAAAAAAACAGTTCTTTCTGTCTTAATTCAGTCTCTTACAAGAGTTGATGAAAAGAGGCTACAGAAGTACTTATAAAATTGTAGCTTCCTATGTGCTGCTACTTTAAGTAGATTCTTTCTAATCCACTAAAATCCTTGAGCTGTGTAGAAAGGTAAAAAAACTCAATTCTGTAACCTTCCTAATTAATTTCAGAAGTAGCCTGTACACTTCAAAAAATTGTTATTATTGTTTAAAACATGAATTTCATCCTATAAGAGTAAAGCTAAGAGGGGCTGGGAATTTAGCTCAGTGGCATAGCGCCTGCCTGGCAAGCGCAAGGTCACGTGTTTGATTCCTGGTACTGGAAAAAAAACCCAAAAAACATAAAACCAAGAATAAAACTAAGAATGTGAAGTTTTAGTTCTTAATCCATTGTGTTCACTGGGATCCTCAATAAATTACTTCATATTATTAAAAACAATACTCTGATCTCATTCTGAATGAAATTCAATAAGGAGGAGAAAGAACAGATCTTAGCAGTAGGCTATGAGTCTTCACAAATAACAGCTGACAAAGTACGAGATTTACGAGCATATTCAAAGCAAATGAACTATGCTTAATATTAAAGAAACAGTTTATCCTTAAGCAGTTATTATTAATTGCCTTTTGACCTCAGTTTCTGGGAGAAGTTGTAAGCTTAAAGCTGCTTCGTGTCCCCCTTTTCTCTTAGGGAAGAAGGTGATTGATGTGGCGGCAGGCTCTACCCACTGTTTGGCTCTCACCGAGGACAGCGAGGTGCACAGCTGGGGGAGCAATGACCAGTGCCAGCACTTCGACACTCTGCGTGTGACCAAGCCAGAGCCTGCCGCACTGCCAGGACTGGACACCAAACACATAGTTGGAATTGCATGTGGCCCAGCCCAGGTACTGCGTGGGCAGTTGGGTGTGGTGTCTCGTGCAGTCTGGTTCCCGTGTGCCCATCGCTGGCGTGTAGAAATGCCATGGGTTTTTGTGTTGTACTCATACCTTACGGTTGTGCTGAGCCGTGAATTAGTTCTGTAAGTCTCTTTCTTTAAGTAGTGCTTTTAACCACAGGCACAGATATTGATACATTTTTATACTTGTTTAGTTCAAAATACTTGCTAATTTGTCTTGAGAATTGCTCTTTGACCCGTGAATTACTCATGTTTTTAAATTTTAGAGTGTTTGGATATTGTTCTGTTACCATTTTGTTATCAATTTCTAGTTTCTCTTGAGGTGGGAAAACTATGATTTTGATTCTTTTAAATTTAAGATTTGTTTTGTGCCTCAGGATATAGTAAATATTTTGTGTTTGCTTGAAAGGTATGTTTATTTTGCTATTGTTGCATGAGGTTTTCTATAAGTATCCCTTAGATCAGTTCATTGATGGTACTATTCAGTTTTTCTAGATCCTTGCTGATTATTTCCTCTCTCTTGTGAGGAAGGTAGTATAGTTACACCTAATGTTTCATGTGTACTTAGAGCTATTCTACTACTTTTAAGTGGGTTCAGAGTCACACAACCATTCATGAATATACACTAGTAATTTTGAGAGTGAAAAAATTTTCTAAAAACCTTTATTACTTTTTAGGTGTGGCAGAATGAGATGGGAGTAGTGAAATGGGAGGGAAACTATAAAGTGATAGTACGTGAACTACACAGCGTGAAAGGTCACATGCGTTCAGGCAGTTAGAGGGAGGACCAGGTATACTGTAAGGCATGTTTATCATGCAGAGTGGGAAGTCTCCTGTGGAACAGATCAGTAGCTAAACTTCTGGATTCATTTTAGGTTCTTATGTTTCTTCTATAGAGCTTTGCTTGGTCTTCATGCTCTGAGTGGTCCATTGGCCTCCGTGTCCCTTTCGTGGTGGACATCTGTTCAATGACTTTTGAGCAGCTGGATCTCCTTCTGCGGCAAGTGAGTGAGGGAATGGATGGCACTGCAGATTGGCCCCCACCACAAGAAAAGGAGTGCATGGCCGTGGCGACGCTGAACCTTCTGCGACTTCAGGTGTCCATGCTTTCCCTCTTTCTGCTCCTTTTATAAGTGCCCTAGGAATTTGTGACTCTGCGTGCATAATGAAGGGTATGGCTTTTAGCCTGTTAGGTGGACAGCTAATGAAACATTTAAAGTATTTTAAAGTAAGATCGCGATGGAGTGATGTGTGTGAGACTTAAAGAATTTGATCCAGTTAATTTCTGTTTATTCCAGAGGCCAGCTTTGCGTACAGGTAAGAGTGTATGGATTGTGTTATTCCTGCTGTAATCAGCTTCTGTACACTCATTGAGGGAGGCAGCCTTGGATTTACTGTTGAGTGGTGAAATAACTGCATAAGACAGCAGGAGCCTGAGAGAGAAAGAGACAGACCTGGCGAGAGACAGTGCTAGCCTCTCTGTTGAACTGTGAAAGCTCTGCCCAGTAAGCGTGGTTCCACGTAGCACTGCCTGAAAGTGAAAGCTACCCAAACCAGCCAGACTTCTCCCAATGTTACTTCCTCCCTTGTATTACACCTACACTCACCCTTTCCCTTTCAGAGTTGTCCTTGTCAGGAACTCTAACCCTGTTCCCCTCCCCACCCACATCCTCCCCTCTGTCCCTAGATCGCCTTTCCTCGTTTCATTATTACTGTTGCTGTTGTTACTTAGTTCATGCTCTGACATAAAGATCACAGCCACTGAGGGCAGTTAGTGCATGCACATGACACATCTTACACCCTGTCTCCGCCTCTCCGTGCTGTCCCCCAGCCTCAGTCTCTGTCTCTGTCCCCTTTCCCAATTGCAAAAGATCTGTCTGTCTCCCAATTTCCTTTTTTTTTCTTTTCTTTTTGGTCTTTTTGAGACAGGGTCTTGCTATGCAGTTCAGGCTGGCCTTGAGCTCACTTTGTGTAGCCCAGGCTTGTCTCAAACTCACGATCCTCCTGCCTCAGCCTTCTGAGTGCTGGGATTACAGGCGTGTGCCACCACACCTGGCCCAGTTGCCTTTTATCAGTCTTTCAGTTTGTGTTTTTTTGTGACTTGGATTGCTCAAATGAGAGAAACCATGGGATATTTCATCTGATTTATTTCACTTAAAATCATGTTTTCAGGAAGTATCCATTTTCCTGATATCTTGAATATCTGATATCCTGATATCTTGAATTTCCAAATATCTTGAATTTATCCCTTTGTATAGACAAATAGTATTCTATTATGCATAGATATCCACATTTCCTTTGTCCATTGTCTGTCAGTGGTCAAACAGGCTGGTTCCAAGATTCAGCTGTTATGGATTGTCATGCACAAAATTTAAAAAATGCTATATAAAATTGCATGTAGGTTATGTGTATAAAATATGTGTGCAATACAAATTGTGTTTGTGTTTAGACTTGGAACCTGGTCTGACTCCTAAGGTAATCTTATGTATGTGCAAATACTCTCAAATTGAAAATGTCCAAAATCTGAAACATTTCTGGTCCAAAGCATTTCAGATAAGTGATATGCAACCTGTAATGAGAAGTGAATTGTGTTTATTTGAAATCAAGTCTAAGAAAATTTTAGTTTTTTCCCCTGATTTTTAGTAAGATTTTAAAAGCCGTTTGTTTTTAGCCATCCTAAGTGAAAATTATTTTTCTCCTTTCAGTTGCATGCTGCCATTAGTCACCAGGTTGACCCGGAATTCCTTGGTTTAGGTCTGGGCAGTGTCCTCCTGAACAGCCTGAAGCAGACTGTGGTGACGCTGGCCAGCAGTGCGGGTGTGCTGAACACAGTGCAGTCTGCTGCCCAGGCCGTGCTGCAGAGCGGCTGGTCTGTGCTGCTGCCCACAGCTGAGGAGCGGGCCCGTGCTCTGTCTGCTCTCCTGCCCTGCACAGGTGGGCCTGGGCTCAGAGTGGGTGAGGTGCAGACGGGCTGTGGGAGGAGATGTTCCCCACTCAAACTGGCAAACAAATTTTCCTCTTCTAGTTTCAGGCAATGAAGTAAACATAAGTCCTGGTCGTCGATTCATGATTGATCTACTGGTGGGCAGCTTGATGGCTGATGGAGGATTAGAGTCCGCCCTAAATGCAGCCATTTCTGCAGAAATTCAGGTACAGGCCTCCAGGGCATGGGAACGGGTAGGGCAGTTAGTTGTGAGTTAGCAGTGAGCTGAGATTGAAAAGTACACTCATTCATGTGTGTAAATCAGACTTTCTGCTGGAAATTGCCTAAACTAAAATGCGGAACTTCAGGGCTGGGGATGTAGCTCAGCGGCACAGTGCCTGCCTGGCAAGTGCAAGGTCGTGAGTTTGGTTCCCGGTACCGGAAAAAAAACAAAAAACAAATAAAATACGGAACTTCTATCACATCTAAGTATTTTCTTTACTTTTTTCTTTTTTTACTTATAACTCTCTTACTAATTAATAAATTTGTTAGGATATTATTGAGATGTGATAAAATGCTCTGCTTTCCATGTCTGAATGAGTGTGGCACTTGCCTCCTTCATCACACACATCATTTCTGTCACACAGTGAGGTTCCTTGTGCCCTTCTGCACCCAGTGGGGACACTCCTCTGCTTCTCAAATGAGCTAAATGGCACCTATTGGGAGTGTCACATAGGTGAAATCCTGTGGAACCCTTCTCTTTTGCGTCTTCTTTTGCCTCACATAATGATTTTCAGACACAGTAACATCAGTGCATATGTCACTTTTTTTTTTATAGAGCAGTATCGCATTATATAGTTATAGCACTGTTTATTCATTCATTTTTCTATTGGAGCGTTGGACTGTTTCTGGTTTTTCACTTTACAAAATTGCTATGATCATCCTGTGTACATGTTCTTTAGCGAGCATGTTTTTTCTTTGCTAATTAATTTAGAGTGGAATTTGATGGGTCCCATTTGTTTACAGTGTCTCAGAGTGGCTTTGTTATTTTTTTTGAATCAGTGTGTGTGTGTCATCTATTTCCTGTCCTTACAAAACAGCCTCTGGATGGTAGTAGGAGACTGTGAGTAGTGGGAGCGTGGCCATTGGATCCGTAGGAAGAATAGTCTGTTTAGAACCTGATCAGCTGACTGCTGAGATTGTGTGTGTGTGTGTGTGTTTGTACATGTGCACACATGCATGTGCAGGTGTAAGCCAGTATTGCCATTTTGTTTGTCAGGCCACAGAGTCTTGAGACAGCTGGGCTCTGGAGTTAGGGCTTAGCTCAATGTGGCTTTTCACTTGCTGGTGAGATCACTGGTCACCAATTTTCTGTTTTACAAATTATAGGATATTGAAGCCAAAAATGAAGCACAGAAGGAAAAAGAAATCGATGAACAGGAAGCAAACGCCCCAACATTTCATAGAAGTAGAACCCCTTTGGATAAAGACCTTATTAATACAGGGGTCTATGGATCTTCTGGGAAGCAGTGTTTGCCTCTGGTCCACCTCGTACAGCAACTTCTTAGGTAATTCTATTTTGATTGGTGGTCATTGGTTTCCTTGTTTAGTGAAACGTAACAGTAGAATCTTAAAAACAGTTTGCCTGTTGGAAAGTTTCTCTGAAAATTACCTAGGGTAGGTTTTAGGGTAAAGAGCAGATTCTTAAATGTAGATGAAAAGAGAGGTTGGCGTACATGAGATTGTAAAATTTTCCATGAAAGAAAATGAAGTGTGGAATAAACCTGTAAGAAGATTCTTATCCTCATTAATAAGCAGGTAGTTGCAAATAAAAATCTTCACAGTAAGGTTAGTTTTTAAAAGTTAGTTTTATCATTGCCTAATTCTATATATCATATATATAATATATATTTATGTCTTTGTAAGACAGCTTTTAATTTAAAAACTAAAATAAAGCTTTCTTTTTGAAGACCAGATCAGGAGGAGTTAAAAATAACTCAGCTTCACACTGTTAGCCAAAGTGAATCTTGGCAAGGACCCACGTGTTCAGACACAGTTGGCTAAGAACTTAGTTCAAAAAGAACAGAGAAGAGTGCAGTTTGTGAAAGAAATTTGGTAAAAAATGAAAAAAGTGATTGCACATTTATTAAACAAAACTCTGCTCTATGTAAACCTAAGTTTAAACCTAATTTGAGAGAAACACTTCACTCTTATGCCGACAATAAGCCACATGATAGTATTTATATTTGAAAATAAGGAGCTGTGACTTTTGTAATTATTGAACCCACCTGAGATAAACTTTTGATTATGGTGCTAAATTTAATGATAGAACATAAAGTAAACAGTTTTGGTATTAGTGTCTTGCTTCTTCAAGCTAAATGCCAAATACTAGACCTAGTTCTTCTGTTAAGATACTGCTGGGGCAGGTTACCAGGTAGTCTAGTAGCAAGGTGAGGTCAGGTGGCAGTGGAGACCCCAGGATATGCTCACCTTTGTTGTGTGTGATGAGGGCAAGGAAGTCCATGGATGTAAGAGAAGTTTCTGGAGGACTTCAACCCCTGACTGTGGCTCCTGCTGCTGTCCTTATGTACACTGCGGACAGTTCCCTGGTGTGAGCCATGGGGCAGGTGCCACGGATAGATGTTCTCAGCAAACCTGCTGTGACATTAGGAATCAAAGAGGTGGAGCCAGAAGCATGCCCTTGACTCTGCGTTATGTGGCAGTCTCAGGACAGTTTCTGGTGACAGTAGCAGCAACACATGTTCACCAGCCTACCCACGCACATTCCTGCCTGGAATGGGCTGTGGGAGTCGTCTGGTTTAGTGGCTGTCCTGGAACCAGGCCTGCTTTGGCTCTTGTCTCCCCTCTGTTGACTTCTGCCTCTAGTAAACTACTTCATCTTTTCTATTCTCTTTCTAAAAAAAATTTTTTTTTTTAATCTTTTCTATTCTTGGTACCAGAGATCAGGCCTGGCTCACCTGTGGCAGAGATTGTTGCTCTGTGACAGAGCCCTGTCTGGTGTTTTACAGTCTGTGTGTGGAATCAGAAATACTGCTGTTGTAACTGTACTTCCTGGAGGTTCATGGTGGTGTCCTTTCTTCCTATTTGCTGACAGCTTGCGGCTCTGGTCTCACTGCACTGTTGAGATGGGAGTTGCTACTCCTTTCCTTGTGTCCATGCTTCTTGGGCACCTTACAGGAGAATTTGTAATTCTTTTGTTCTGAAGGAGGGGTGTTGGTACTTCCTTTGGTCTTCTTTTCCTGTTTCCTGAGTCCTAGGTACCCTTGCATAGCCCATCCTCGTGCCCTCTCAGAGTAGGTGCTGAAGATAGATCTATAAGGCAGACATAGCAATGCAGGTGAGTCGTGTCCTAAGGATAGATAGCATTTATATTTGAAATGCACATTTGGAGGAAAAAAAGCAGTGGAGCAGTTTTATATAGAAATGTTCCTTTTTGAGTAAGATCCACTTTTAATTTGGATGATTCTTCAAGGCAAGTTTGTAAAAAGGGGCATCATTATATTTTTTGAATCTTAAGAGCTCAGGCATATTGATTGATTGATTGCAGTACTGGGGATTGAACCTAGGGAACTACACTCTCAGCCTTTTAAAATACCTTGTTATGTCACTGAGGGCCTTGCCATGTCATTGAGTTGCCTAAGCTGGGCTTGAACTCTTGACCCTTCTTTCGCAGCCTCCCACAGTGCTAGGGTTACAGGTGTGAGCTTCTGTGCCTAGCTCTCTGTGCAGTTTTGGCTGAGGTTGTGTGTACTGCACAGATACACCTGCTACATTTGGGGAGGGCAGCCAGCTGCAGGTTGCCTCCTCGTGTGATGTGCACTTCTGACACTATGTGGTGATTTGCTACCTTTTCCTCTTGTCTGTTTTTTTTTTGAGACAGGGTCTCACTCTGTAGTTCAGGCTGGCCTTGAACTCACTATGTAGTCCAGGCTGGTCTTGAACTCATGATCCTCCTGCCTCTCCCTCCCGAGCACTGGGATTATAGGCATATGCCACCATGCCCGGCTTGCCCTGTCTTTTTAACAGAAATAACTTGTTCAATTTATAATTCTCTTTTCCCCTACCTAGAAACATTGCTTCTCAGACTGTAGCCAGATTGAAAGACGTTGCCCGTCGGATTTCATCATGTCTGGACTTTGAGCAACACAGCCGTGAGAGGTCTGCCTCATTGGACTTGTTACTGCGTTTTCAGCGTTTACTTATCAGTAAACTTTATCCTGGAGAGAGCATTGGTCAGACCTTAGATATTTCCAGTAAGTTGTCTACAGGTGAATGTGTCTTATGTATGTCTCGGGTTTTTATTATTATTATTTTTGATTTGCCTATTATGTGTGCTCATATGTATAGTCCTTATATTAAATACAGCAGTTTTGGAGACTTCATTTTGGATACACTTTATTGGTCAAATAGTTTTGTACTATACCTACTTATATCTTTAATTGTGTTGGCTTCATATTGAAATTCTGTAGACATTAGAAATAGGTCTCTCTGTGCTCAGTGTACACTCCCATGGCGTGGTAGAACACTAATGATTGACAGGACGCGGGACCCAGATGGTGGCAGACTGCTCATGAGTCAGATGGCTGTAGCGGGAGGAAGGGCAGGTTTCACTCACAACTCTGATTTGTTGCTGCTAGACCCTGGGTTAAGTTTCCACACCACCAGGGATTTCTCAGCTGCAGAGCTGGATAATCCCAAGTTTGCCCATGGCTGAAACGGGCTGATGTGTATGTGCTGCGCACTGCATGCGGCATCCGGGGGAGGGCACCTTTCTGTCAGCACCGTGGCGGGAGGCCGGTTTTCCATAGTGTTGCTTTTCCTTTAGGAGTAGAAACATTTGCTGCTTCTGTTGATAATTTTATAGCTAAGTTTAGAAGTGAAAGGAATAAATTATTTCTTAGAAGGAGTTAGGTACTTGTTTATGATAGAAACCTCTAGGTTCAAATAGGCAAGTTTATAGTCTAAAAGAGGTGACTGTCTTGAAGATAGAGGTTATAGTAATGTGAAGCCATTAAGAACCATGGAGGCAGAAAGTTGAAGATTTTATGAGGCGGAAAAATGTCTAGTTTTGTTCGTTGGGAGTAGTTTACAAGCTTTAGGAAAAGTGTTTGTGTGCTAAAGTCTAAAATCTCTGTAAATTATGACTTTAGTATTTATAGACTCAAACTTTTAGGTCCTATGTGGTGCAGGGTGTAAAATTCAACACAGTCAAATTCATTGCCCCTCAGGTTACATAATGTGCAAAAGAACCAAAGACCGAGTGTGTTAGGCTCCTGTTGGGGAACATTCTTACAGGCAAGAGACGCAGCCGTAAAAGTGGAGTAGTGGAGCAGTCAGGTGGGTTTGCAGAGCATGTTCTCAGTAGCGACAGTGACGTTTTCTGAATCTCCCTTCAGGTCCTGAGCTGACAGGTGTTGGCTCCTTGCTGAAGAAGTATATAGCCCTTCTGTGCACACACATCGGGGACATACTGCCCGTGGCGGCCAGCGTTGCTGCTGTCAGCTGGCGACACTTTGCTGAGGTGGCCTGTATCGTGGAAGGGGACTTCACTGGTACCTTTCTTGTTTCCTGCCTTGGGCCTCCTGTTTACTTTAGAAACCTGAGGAAAGCTAGCATATATCTTTCCCTGATTAAAATGCGTGCCATGTACTCTATACATTTTCTGATCCTCTTGTGTTTTTCTTTCTTTCTTTCTTTCTTTTTTTTTTTTTTTTAACCAATAGTTCTGTTAAGCCGCTTGGTGTGGAAGCCGTAAATAATGCATGCAGTTGGTTGATATTTGTACACCACCATTAGCACTTCAATAATGAGGGCAATGATGACTGTTATTTTTTTTTTTTAATTTTGTTTTAAGACGGGGTCTTGCTATGTAGTTCAGGCTGGCCTTGAACTCCCTGTGTAGCCCAGGTTGGCCTTGTGCTAGCATTACATGCATGTACCACCACACCCAAACACTGTTTCATTGTATTCCAACAGTATAAACATTAGTTGTCCTTTTCAAAACCTTAATACATTCCAATATTAGTCTTTTTTAAAAGTTAATTTTGTGAAATTAGTTTTTTTTTTTGTCTTTTTGAGACAGGGCTTCACTGTTCAGTTCAGGCTGGCCTTGAATCCACTTTATAGCCGAGGCTGGCCTTGAACTTGCAGCAGTCCTCCTGCCTCAGCCTTTTGAACCCTGGGATTACAGGTGTGCATTGCCATGCCTGGTAAATCATTGTTATTTTTGAGTGCTTTCTCTGATGGCAAACGTATGGGTGAAAACTATCGTTCATAGTAGTGTTTTAGGCATAGTATTTTTCAAAAATATTTTTGGAACTCAGAGGGTTCTTTTTGACAACTATATGTCTCTTTCAAAAGAAAATACACTGTAGAAATATGCAAAGGGACAAGTGTTCTGTATTTTATGATTTAGAATTTAAATATAAAGGTTACAAAGTACTTTCCAGGATAAACACTTTTGTTTTTTTTTTTTGGTACTGGGAATTGAACTCAGGACCTTGTGCTTGCTAGGCAGGTTCTTATGCCACTGAGCTAAATCCCCGGCCCAAATACTTTTAATTAAATGTTAACACTTTTTTTTTCCTTAAATGTAGGTGTACTCCTTCCAGAGCTGGTGGTCTCTATAGTGCTTCTGCTCAGTAAAAATCCTGGTCTCATGCAAGAGGCTGGAGCCGTCCCCCTGCTGGGTGGCCTGCTGGAGCACCTAGATCGCTTCAACCACTTGGCTCCTGGAAAGGAGAGGGATGACCATGAAGAGCTGGCTTGGCCTGGCATAATGGGTACGGCATTTAACCTTTAAGGACTTCACGAAGGGAAGTGTTGTCTTCGTCTGACCTATTTTTGTCTTTGTGTCTGAAGATCATGAAGACAAAATAATTGGAAGACTGATTATTATCCTATTTCTACTGATGGCAGTGTAAAAGGAAGAGGAAGATAATCCAAATTATAACAGATTTGGTTATGTTTAAGGAAGACTTACATTAGTAATTGTTATTAAACCTGGAAATTGATTCCTTTAGAATATTCTGGAAAACCTTTCCTAGGAGGTGTCTTCTGAAGGTCCTATTGAAGTGTGTATAGATATGGGGGCTGGGGATTTAGCTCAGTGGCACAGCGCCTGCCTCGCAAGCGCAAGGTTGTGAGTTCGATTCCCAGTACCGGGACCCCCCCCCCCCCCCCCCGCCGAAAAAATAAAAAATAAAGTGTATAGATATGGTAGAACCCTGGAGGCAGGCATTGATGTGGGAGAGGAAATTCCTTGGAAGTCAGCTGAGCACTTCCTTGTAGACACCATCTGCAGCGTGTACCAAATTGAAGTGATTCTTTGACTTCTCAAAGTTTTGAGATCTGGCAGTTTTGAATCTTAAGTCACTATGGTCTGCATGGTTCTGAGTTCCTGGACTCAAAATTGAAGTTACGTTTTAGCATTCATTTTATATTAAAAATCCAACTAGAGCTTCAAGTAAGAGGTCATGGTTGTCCTGAGGAAAATAGCCTTAGGATAGGCAAGCATTTTTTTGTTTTTGTTTTATTGACACAAGGTCTCACTGTGTAGTCCAGGATGGCCTTGAACTTGCTGATAATCAGAGGTCCCTGGAAATTACTTTTCTGGGTCCTTAATCTTGAAGGTGGATGGCATTAAGTACATACATCATTTGCAAATATTTTGTTACCCTTGGTAATGTCCTTCAGCGTACAAAAGTATTCGATTTTGATAAAGTCCAGCTTACCTAATTTTCTTCTATGATTGCTCTTGGTTTTAATATCATATCTAAGAAATCATTTCCAAATTCATTATTGTCACATTTCCCTGTTTTCTCGTAAGAGTTTCATAGTTTCAGCTCTTAGGTTTTCATCTTGGTCTAGTGTTTGTGTACCGTTTAAGATGAGGGTCTAACTTCATTTTTCTTTCCCATGTGGCTATTTAGTTTTCCCAGCATTATTTGTAAAAAGATTATTCTTCCTCCATTGCGTTGTCTTGACTTCTTTGTCAAAGATCATTTCACAAAATACGTATGTATTTTTGTGTTTTTTATTCAGCTTCACTGTTCAGTATGTCTGTCTGTGCCATTAGAACACTGTAATAGAAGTTCTAAGTGTTACAGAAAGAGGCATTATTCTCCCATTGTGATTCTGATTTATCTGTTTCACGCAATTTGTTCTTTTCATTTGATCAGTTGATTGATTTTTGTTTTCTGTATATACAGAGTCATTTTTTACAGGTCAAAGTTGTAGAAATAATGAGGAAGTGACACTTATACGCAAAGCTGATTTGGAGAACCACAATAAAGATGGAGGCTTCTGGACCGTGATTGATGGCAAAGTGTATGACATAAAGGATTTCCAGACACAGTCCTTAACAGGAAATAGCATTCTAGGTAGGCCATACTTTTTAGTTCATGGTTAAAAGTTCAGGTATATATTATTTTTTGTTTGTTTTAAGACAGGGTCTTGTTGTATATTTTAGACTGGCCTTAAACTGACAATGTAGACTAAGCTTGGCTCAAACTCTGGTGATCCTCCTGCCTCAGCCTCTGCAGTGCTGGAATTATAGGTGTGCACCACCATGCCCAGCTGCATGTTATTTTTAAGCTTGTAAGGCTAAGATTATGAATGATCTCTTAGTTCTGCTCTAGCCCCTACATATTTTCATGGTCTTGCTCCTTTTTTTTTTCCCCGGTACCAGGAATCGAACTCACGACCTTGTGCTTGCCAGGCAGGCACTGTGCTGCTGAGTTAAATCCCCAGCCCATATTTTCATGTATCTCTGATTTTGGTTTCTGTCTTAACAAATTCAGGCACAGTTAAAGAATTTCTCATCACTGTGTATTTTTTTTCCCATTAAAAACTTGGTTGAAACTGGTTCCAAGTTCTGAGTTGGTCCAGGCAAGCCTGAGAGAGGGCGGGAGGTCGTTGTACTCTGGTAACCCTCACTTTTGAGGTCAGCTGCCTGACTGACTTCTTATGTGCCACGTGAGCTGTGCCTGTCTGGGCACAGTGACTGAAGTCATGCTGTGTTCTCACTTTTATTTTAGCTCAGTTTGCAGGGGAAGACCCAGTGGTTGCTTTAGAAGCAGCTTTGCAGTTTGAAGACACCCGGGAATCCATGCATGCCTTTTGTGTTGGCCAGTACTTAGAGGTGAGGCTGTATACTTGTGGGATGACATGGATGGGTCATGGGAGGTCTTCTCCGTGTTTGTGAGAGAAGATTTTTACTGTAAAGTACTCATCTGGGCCTTTGGGGGGATTAAGTGGTAAAAATGTATGTTAGATAAATCAGATTATATGTTCATGTTAAGATTTATGATGTACTGGTTTTGAAATTGAAAAAAGTTACCAGTATGCAAAAAATCTGTATGTGAAAAGAGGTTAAATTTTGGTCTTTATAGTTTTACTGTAAGCTTATAGAAACTTAGAGTAGCTTACACATTGAGTGTGCAGTTGTGGGGAAGAACTGTATTGAAGCGTAGTTCTTATGTAAAAATACGTCCTTCATACATTTTCACGAGCACTGGGTTTATGTCTTTGGGTTGACTTTGCAGGTACTCAGAGGTAATAAAATCTACTAAATGCATCGTGTAGTATTTAAGACATTTTATCAAGAGAAAAATCAACTTTGTAAATTGTCTGGTGTGACTAGAAAAGTAAGATTATTTAAAACTCGTAGTTTTTTTTTTTTAGATTTTCTTAGAATTAATTTCTTGGTGTATGTGGTCATAGTTCACTAATCTACAGCAATACTTGTCATATTTTATATTGTCACTTTTTTATGTATGTAATTCATTGTATTTTCTGAAACATTATGGATAATTATTTTGGAAACTGTTTAATTCCCTAAGGAATATTGTAGCTAAGTCATTATCTACTCTTCGGTGTTTGTGCTGCATCTCCACTGCCCACTTTCTAGGGCTTGTAGGGTTTATGTAGTATTATCCGCTCCTTTGGCAGTGGTATAAACTCATTACAGGATGTAGGAACGGGGTGTCCAGAACACTCACTTGTCCTGATCAGGGCAGTACTGCATCTTAAGTGTATACTTTTTTTTTTTTTTTAAGTGTTATGTTTTTGATGAACCTTTTCTCAGACTGATGATAAACTTGATTTTCCAGCCTGACCAGGAAGTTGTTACCATACCAGATCTGGGAAGTCTGTCCTCGCCTCTGGTAGACACAGAGAGGAATCTGGGCCTGCTGCTTGGACTCCATGCGTCCTATTTAGCCGTGAGCACACCGCTATCTCCGGTCGAGATTGAATGTGCCAGTAAGGAAAACTTGTTTTCTGCTGACTGATTAGCACGTCACTTCATTTTGGTTGAGCCACAAGTGTCCTTAAGAGTAGGAGAGGAAGTAGAACCGGCATAGTTGTTGATGAAATAAATAAATAAATGAATAAATAAATAAAAAAGGACAGTGAGACTCAGGTGATTTGAAATGGCTCGGAGTGGCTCTCCCTTCTCTCATGCTGCTTGGCTGCAGAGGAAGCTATAGTGTACAGGAATGCCTGTCTGTGGTCTCATACCCTGTCCTCGGGCAGATGGGTCTTGGATGTGTGTTGTTTCTCTGTGTGCCCAGAAGTCACATAAAATGTGGATGGGCTGTTCTTTTTTTTGGTATTTTCGAGACAAGGTTTCGCTATGCAGTTCAGGCTGGCCTTGAGCTCACTTTGTAGCCTAGGCTGGCCTCGAACTCTCAACAGTCCTCCTGCCTCAGCCTCCCGAGTGCTGGGATTACAGGCGTGCGCCACCACGCCCGGCTCAGATTGGCTGTTCTTTCAGTAATGGCTTTCTGAGGTCTATGTTTTTACCAGACTCAGGTTAGGCACATTTTGGATGGCAGCCCTTATAACCATGTTAATAATGAAGTTTCTCTGTATCCCATAAGATGAGTTTAGCTTTATTTTAAATACTTCTGCATTTCTCATCTGTCTGTGCGTCTGTCCACCCAGCAGGCACTGACTGAGCAATCAGTTGCTTATGCAGGGTGCATGGGCAGATAAGACAGGCTACCATCTTGGCTGCTTATGTGATGATGAAGCAGCAGGTGAAGCAGATGAAGATGTGGGTGATAAGCTGGGCGTGGTGGCACACACCTGTAATCCCAGCACTTGGGAGGCTGAGGCAGGAGGATTATTACAAGTTTGAGGCCGTCCTGAGCTACAAAGTGAGCTCAGGGCCGGCATGAACTGCATAGTGAGACCCTGTCTCAAAAAGACAAAAGGAAAAAGGGTGATAGATGACGAGGGTGAGGGCATCTAGAGGTGGCCCTGGGGGAGGACAGCTTGGCAGAAAAGGCAGTGTTGGAACTGGTATGGGGCATCCTGCGCAGGAACACAAGGTGTGAAGGCCGCTGCTGAGAAGGATGGGTCTCTAGCTCCTTTCAGGGTGGCTGCTGGACAAGGCTGTGGGTGAGGATGGGCTCCGTGTTTGCTTGCCCTTGGTGCAGAAGAGCCTCAGAAGCAGGTGCTGCACTGTGCTGCTTACTTTCTTCTGTAATATCTTGGAGGATGAGCTTTTCTCAAATGAGGGAGAGGGAGTGGGAGGCTCCAGGGTGGGGCGAAATGCTGTGGGCCTGGTAGATGGGGCTGCCGCACTGGGGAGTCAAAAGCTTGTCTTTGGGAGATCAGGTGCTTCTGTGTTCTGTAGAGATCCAGGAAGGCTGTGATCAGATTCGTTTTTTAGAAAAATGAACATGAGCCATGTTGAGAAGCTCCTGAGTGCTCTACATTAAAATGTCTAGTAAAAGACACGGAGTGCTTCCCAGATTTGATTAGTTTGGAGCAATGCTTTGGTGACATAAGCATTAATAGAAATTGTTGCTGATGTGTACCACAATTATTTTTGTGTGCATTTCCCTTAATATTCCTGTTTTCCCTGGAGGCTGGCATATTCTTTCTTTTTTTTGGTGGTTCTGGACATTGAATCTAAGACTTCATGTATGTTAGGCAAGTGTTCTGTCACTGGGCCCCACTCCTCCCCGCCAGTCCCAGTACTGGGGATTGCCCTAGGGGTGCTCCCCTCTGCCTCAGCCTCCTGACTAGATTACAGGTATGCATCCCACACCCAGCTTTAGAAGGCATTCTGATGTCAGATCTACCTGATCCTGTATCTTGTGCTATATGTAGATCTCCTTTCTAGTCTTGTTGGGTCTCCATCTCTTAGGGTCTTTCCTTTTTAAAGATTGTGTGTTTCTTGTTAGAAATTCTTTCATGCTTGTTACTTCATAAACAGTAGGAATATGCAGCCTACCCAAGGAGGTTCTCTGCAGAGACTCTTCAGGCATACTGTTCCCTTGTCACTTGCGTAGCATCTTGGTGTCTTTCTGTGGTGGGTCCTCGTCACAGTGGCGTCTTCCTGCCGTGGCTCTGTGACCTCCGTGGTGCTCTGTAGACTATATTCTCATGGTTGAAATTGAGTGCTGTTTTCCCTGTGAGAATATGCAGTCTTCCCATGGATGATCCTTTTGATTTTTGTTATCATGACACAATTCCTTAGGCTGACTAACTTATAAAGAAAAGAGGCTTATTTCATGCACAGTTTTGCACATGGAAAATATGAACAGCCTGCTTTGCTTTGCGGTGAATGCCATCATGGCAGAGCACATGAGTGAGACAAGAAAGCAGAGAGAGATTTAGGGTCTGGCTGTGGCTTTTATAACAGCTTGCTCTCTCAGGAACCAAGCAGGGTCCTGTGAGAACTCTGTCAGTTCCTTCTCACTGGGCTGTGCCTCTTAGTACTGCCTTTACCTGTGCACCTCACCACCCTGTGGACTAAGCGCCCAACATAGGTACCCCTAGGGGCACACGCAGACCACATCTATCCTATTGCACATGGTGTCCGGAACCAGGCAGCTTCATGCAGAGCACAGGTATGCAGTGAATGTGGGGCTGGAATCATCGTTCTAAGTCCTGATACTGTGCTTCAGGTGGATCAGATAGTTGAGAGGGGCTGCGTGTGCTCATGTAGGTGAAGGAATTATAAAACAGCCTGTGTAAATACATTAGATGCAACTTTTTCCTATGAGTGATGCCGAATTTCACCTTCTAAATTGGGTACTTAGTTCATTGTCTTTTTTTGGGTATTTATTTCTAAAGTGTGTGCTCAAGTTTCTCTTTAATGTTTACTTACGCATTTTCTAGAGTGGCTTCAGTTGTCCATTTTCTCTGGAGGCCTGCAGACCAGCCAGATCCACTACAGCTATAATGAGGAGAAAGATGAGGACCACTGCAGCTCTCCTGGGGGCACTCCTGCCAGCAAATCCCGACTCTGCTCTCACAGACGGGCCTTGGGTGACCATTCCCAGGCATTTCTTCAAGCCATTGCTGACAATAACATTCAAGACCACAATGTGAAGGTAAGCCAGGTTTCTCCCATTCCTAGTCTAGTATTCTATTATCTGAGGACTTTTTTTTTTTTCCGTTACAGGGCATCAAACTCAGGACCTTGCACTTGCCAGGCAGATGTGCCCCTGAGCTGTATCTCTGGCCCTGTCTTTGGACTTTGACATGGGATATTGTCATGCTTTGATGAATATTGAATATAGCACAGGTTTTGATCATGCATATTTGAAAGTGAAAAGATGATTCTATTTGATATACCAGTGAGGTTTTAGGAGTGTATTGATTATAAGTGAGTTAGAAGCTGCGGGGCTTTCGGATCTGTGAGAATTCCTGGACGGCTGTGAAGTTACCTCCTGACATTCTGTTGCAGGACTTTCTGTGTCAAATTGAGAGGTACTGTAGGCAGTGCCACTTGACCACGCCCATCACCTTCCCTCCTGAGCATCCAGTGGAGGAAGTTGGCCGTTTGCTCTTATGCTGCCTCTTAAAGCATGAGGATTTAGGTATGAAGCTTGGTATCCATGTACTTCAGTGACCATAGCTCTTTCAGCTGACGTGCAGTGCGTATTCATTCCTTCCTCGCCCTTCTGTTAAATGTTTTTTACAGGTCATGTGGCGTTGTCTTTAGTTCACGCAGGTACACTTGGTATTGAGCAAGTAAAGCACCGAACATTGCCTAAAGCAGTGGTGGATGTTTGTAGAGTTGTCTACCAAGCAAAGTGCTCACTCATTAAGGTAAATAGATTTTAATTCTTCTGCAGTATATGGACAGTTTATGTGGACAGTTGCCAGAATATTTGTTGTTAACTTGTCTTTTCCTATTCAACTTTGTAGACTCATCAAGAACAAGGTCGTTCTTATAAGGAGGTCTGTGCTCCCGTCATTGAACGTTTGAGGTTCCTGTTTAACGAACTGAGACCTGCTGTTTGCAATGATCTCTCTATAATGTCTAAATTTAAGCTGTTAAGTTCTTTGCCCCGTTGGAGGAGGATAGCTCAGAAAATAATTCGAGAACGGAGGAGAAACAGAGGTAAAAATGTCGAAGGTTGGGAAACAGTTAAAGTATGTATTTCCCTGTGTGGTCCAGTCTGTGATTCCAGAGTGAAGCTGCTGGTTGTTGTGCACTCTGTGGGGCAGTTCCATGCAGTATTTGCACGTAGCTAGGAGGCCTGCTTATTTTCCTGGGACCAGATAATGATGCACCTTGATGTTGAATATGTTAGCATTCGGTCACTAGTATATTAATCCTACAAAGGTAATACTGTATATGTCACTAAATTAATGGGGAAAGGGAAGTTTGCCTTTTTTATATATATTGGAACATTTAATCTTACAATTTAGAGCTACCATTCTTGTAAAGAAATTTTTGGTTTTGAAAATTTTAAGTATTTCCTAATTTTAAATTAATTAAAATCATTGAAATTACTTTTATAATGAGTGATGTTTTTAAACTTAGTTCCTAAGAAGCCAGAATCTACTGATGATGAAGAAAAAATTGGAAATGAAGACAGCGATTTAGAAGAAGCTTGTATTTTGCCTCATAGTCCCATAAATGTGGACAAAAGACCCATAACAATCAAATCTCCCAAGGTAATGTATCTTTTGTGATTGTGAGATTGGTGGAATAGAAACACAGCACATAGCAAAGGCATCTACGACAGTTGTGTCTTTGTGCCAAGTGTTTGTAGGGTAGTGAGTGTGGTAGATTTTTATTAAAAGTATATCCCCAGTGATGTTTACTGACCTTGGTTGATGGTTTCTGGTTGGAGCAGTACCTGGAGAGGTGTCTGCTTTTATTTTTGGTGCTTCGTTGCATCATTATCTACTCACTGCTCATTCATTGAAGGTACCCTTTGCTCTGTAACTGCTGGTCCCTGAGACGGTTCCTATGAAGGGTAATGTAGCTTGATGTGCCACCTCAGTCTGTTCCAAAGTATGTTAATGTAGAGATTATGAATACACTTACGAGCATATTTTGTAATATAATTTTTAGCCATATATTAGCAAATTTAAAGTATTCTATCAATTTAAATCTCTAGGTATTATTTAATATTTAAGTAACTGTATCAGACTACATGTTCTTAGGGTAAACTAATGGTGCAAATTGTTTCTCTTTGTTAGGATAAATGGCAGCCCCTGTTGAGTACAGTTACAGGCGTTCACAAGTACAAGTGGTTGAAGCACAACGTGCAGGGCCTTTATGCACAGTCTGCACTCCACAGTGCGATTGCTGAATTTGCCCTTAAAGAAGAGCCAGTGGATGTAGAAAAAATGAGAAAATGCCTACTAAAGCAGGTAAAGTCAAATGAGAACATGCTCTACGTTGTGTAACATACACAACACTGAACTGTATGCATTGATGTTTTTCAGTTGGAGAGAGCAGAGGTTCGTCTGGAAGGAATAGATACAATTTTAAAACTGGCAGCCAAAAATTTCTTACTTCCGTCAGTGCAATACGCTATGTTTTGTGGATGGCAAAGACTTATTCCTGAGGGAATCGATATAGGGTAAAATTTTATAAATTTTTTTTCATAATTATGGGAATCTGTGGAGCACGGCATTATTCTGTTAAAGTGAGATTAATGATAGCTGGGCTTGTTGGTGCGTACTTGTAGACCTGGTTACTTGGGAAGCTGAAGTAGGGGAACCACTAGTGCCCAGGAGTTAGAGACCTGCCTGGGCCTTCTAGTATAGTGAGATCTGTCTCAAAAGAAAAAAAAAGTCTTGTGGTGTCCTAAGTATAACTCTTAGTCTTTGTTTGAAAGGGCTCCTCTTACTGATTGTCTGAAGGATGTTGACTTGATCCCACCTTTTAATCGGATGCTGCTGGAAGTGACTTTTGGAAAGCTGTGTGCCTGGGCTGTTCAGAATATGCGAAATGTCCTGATGGATGCAAATGCCAAATTTAAAGAGCTCGGTGAGTTAAAAAAATACTGATGGTTAAACGTGTTCCAGTGCATCAGCGTTGTTTCATAGTTTGGCCTTCATGGTTTTTTTTTTCTGGTACTGGGAATTGAACTCACGACCTTGCGCTTGCCAGGCAGGCGCTGTGCCACTGAGCTAAATCCCCAGCCCTGTTTGGCCTTCATTATATGTTGTAGAATCTCAGAAATGCCAGTTTTTGCTTTTGAAAACTTACACATTATATTGATAATCTAAACTGCTTTTAGCCTTCTCTTGTTCTGAATGGAACTTTCAAAAATTGGCAGAAGACACAGTCTTGAACTACTTCAATATAAAACCTTACATTTTTATATTTTTATGTGTATCACTGATACCATAATACTCTAAGGTGTATGTGTCCTGTATTAATACTTATTTCCAGCCTGGTATGGTGGTGCATGCCTCTAATGCCAGCACTTTGGGATGCTGAGGCAGGAGGATTTTTGAGCCCAGCCTGGGTGACTTAATGACACAGGCCCTGCCTCAAAATAATTTTCAATAAGGCTGGGCATGGAGGTATATACCAGCACTCTGGGAAGGCTGAGGTTGGAGGACCATAAACTGGAGCCTAGCCTGGACATCTAAATGAGACCCTTCCTCAAAATTAAAAAAAAAAAAGGTTGGATGTTGAGACGCATGCTTCTAATCCCAGCATCCTGGGAGGCTGAGTTAGGCGGATTGCAAATTCCAACCTAGCCTGAGCAGTTTAGGTGCCCCTGTATCAAAATAAAAAAGGGGTAGAGATGTAGTTCAGCTCTGGCCTCAGTCCACAGTACTACAAACAAACGATTTATTTCCTGGATGATTTGAGCGTCTACAGAGTAATAATGGCATTGTGTTTGTGGTAGAAAAGTGAAATGTAACTTACATTGGAAGAGGAAGGAGGTCCCACAGACAGAGAAGGTAGCTCTTTGTGAAGGGCAAGTGGTAAGACCATTGGAAAGCAAGACAGGGCTATCCTACGTCCACAGCCTGTTGAAACCCACTGAAAAGTAGAGGCTAAAAACCAAACAAGAACAAAATCCCAAACTCCAGTGCCTTCTATGTCAGGTATATTCTTGTATCTATGAACAAGAAATGTGAAATTGAAGTGTGGATGCCAATGCTTCTTAGGTATTCAGCCTGTTCCCCTGCAAACTATTACCAATGAGAACTCGTCCGGACCCAGCCTGGGGACCATCCCACAAGCTCGCTTTCTCCTGGTGATGCTCAGCATGCTCACCTTGCAGCATGGTGCAAACAACTTGGACCTTCTGCTCAACTCTGGCACGCTGGCCCTCACGCAGACCACTCTGCGGCTGATCGGTAGGTCGCACTGATTTTGGGTCTTGTATGACAGTGTCATGACTTTGCCTTGATTTCTCTTTCCAAAAACAAAAAGGTTTTGTTGATAAAATACAAATAACATAAAAGCTACCTTATAGACTGTTTCTGGTTTACAATTCAGGGGTATTAGTAAGTATATTCACAGTTTTATGCAACCGTCACCGTTTAGTTCTAAAACTATTTCATCACCCCAAATACAAACTTTGTACCCATTTAACAATCACTTTTGATTTCCCCTACCCCTGGTCCCTGTCAACCACAAATCTGCTTTTTCTGTTTATGGATTTGCATTTTCTGGGAATTTTATCTAGAATCATATAATTATCAAATCGCAGATTGTGACCTTTTGTGTCTGCTTTCACCATATCTTGGTACTTCATTTCTTTTTATAGCTGTGTTGTTTGAAGTACAGTCTTTTGTTTTTCTGTTGATGGATACCTGGATTGCTTGTTACCTTTCAGTTGCTAGGAATATTTGTATATAGAAAATTGTTTTTTTTTTTTTTTTTCCAGTTCTTTTGATTCTATACCTAGAAGGAGAATTGCAGGGTAGTTGTGTGATAATATGTACTATGTTCAACTTGTTGAGAAATTATCAGACTTCAACTTAGTGCTGTTTTCTCACCATCTGTGGACAAGGGTTCTGGCTTCTCATTTACTGTTTTTGGGATTAAGGTCATCTAGTGGATGTAAAGTAGTATCTTGTGGTTTTAAATATTCATTTCACTGATGGTGAGTGACATTGAAGCTTTTTAGATATACTTGTCCGTTTGTCTGTCTTTTTTTGAAATGTTCTTTTGCCCATGTTTGAATCGGGTTGTTTGTTGTCTTTTTGTTTAGGTATAGAAATACCATTAAATGTGTCATGTATATACCAAACACTGAAAGAAAAATCCTCAAATTCTTTCAAAAATGTCCTGTGTGTTAGACCTTTGAGATCTGTAGACCTTCAGCAGTTGTATGAATTGAAGATACTTCTCCTTGTTCCAGGGGTTGTATTTTCCTTTGATGCTGATGTTTTTAGATGAAATTCAATTTTCCCTTTTGTTAATTGTACTTTTGGCGTCATATTCAAGATACCATTAGCAAGTCAAAGATGGATGAAAATCGTCTGTTATGGGTTATGTCTGCATTTCTCCCCAAATCCTCATGCAGTCATCGGGCGGGCTTCTATTCTAGATTTTTGATTGATCCATAGTCCAGTGCTGGGAGTATGGGTGTGAGTGCTATACTCCCCCTGGGGCAGGTAGTTTGCATGTAAGGGAGAGACAGGCTGCTTTCCGCCACTCCTCCCTTTTGCTGTTGCTCCTTTTGCTGTTTTTCACCGCCATGAACTGCTGCCCTCTGCCATGAGCCACTTTGCCTTGGAGCCAACCAAGTATGGACTGAAACCTCCACAAGCTGTGAGCTAAATAAACCTTTCCTTCCTTAATTTTAGGTGTCAGATATTTTGTCTCAGAATGAGAGAAAAGTAACCAAGACATCATCCTCTGTTTCCTTTATGGTTTTAGATCTTATATTCAGATCTTTGGTCTATTTTTAGATAAATATACTTTACACATTGTGAGGTAAGAGTGTCTCACATTTTTTCTTTTTGTTACCCAATTGTTTTCAGTACCATTTGTGGAAAAGACTGTTCTTTTGTCCAAAATCTTGGTATTCAGTTGTTCATTGATACCTGTTTCTGGATTCTCAATTTCCTTCTGTTCTATGTATGTATCATTATATCAGTACCACACTGATTTGAACATTGTACCTTTGTAGTACAAAAATGAGAAATGTTAAGTCTTCCAACTTTGGTTTTTCTTCCTTAGTATTATTTTGGCTATTTTGGATCACTTTCATTCTATATGAATGTCAGGACTGGCTTTTCCACCTTGGTGATTTTGCTGAGGCTTATATTGAACTATAGATTGCTTTGAGGAATATTGCCACCTTGATAGTATTAACTTACATTTTTATGGTTATCAGAACAACAGTGGCCTCACAATTAATTAGGTGTTTCTAATGATCTGTTTTTGTAAGGGTTTGAAGATTGCTGTTAATTCTTTAAGTTCACCTGTTGAGTCATGTGGTCCTCAGCATTTCTTCCAAGAGCTTCTTGATTACTGATTTCATCTCTTGTTATAGGTATATTTAGGTTTTCTGTTTCTTGTACAGGTAATTTGTGTGCTTCTAAGGTTTTATCCTTAGATAATCTCATTTGTTGTCATGTATTTGCTTGTAATATTCTTTTATATCCTTTTTTATATTTATGTTGATAGTAATTTCCCTACTTAAAATTCTGATTTTAGTTATTTACATCTTTTTTTTCTTAGTGTATGTCAAGCTTTGTCGATTTTGTTTTTAAAAACCAGCTTCTACTCTTCTTGCTTCTATTTTTCTGTTCTGTATTTCATTTATCTCTGATCTAATCTTCACTTTTTCTTTCTTTTTACTACCTTTGGGTGTGCTGTTTTTGTTTTTGTTTCCATAGGCGTAGTGTTACTAGTTTAGAGCATGCTTTCATAAGTATAAATATTTCTTATGGCACTTTGTTTGCTGCAATATGTAAGTGTTGAGATACTGTGTTTTCATACATCTTAAAGTATTTTCTAATATCCCTTATTTTTCTCTTGACCCCCTGGTAGTTTAAGTGTGTTTGGTTTAATTGCTATGTAGTTGTGAATTTTCTGGTTTTCCTTGTTACATCTAATGATCTCAGTTTGGTTGGAGAAAGTAACTTTTATGATTTTATTCTTCATATTGTCTTGTTTGTGATCTAATGTGGTCTGTTTATTTGAGAATGTTTATTCTGTCTTTTTGGCTGGAGTGTTTCATGTGTTTGTTAGATTTCATTGGCTTACATTGTTGTTTTTTGGCTGAAAGTCAGAGATACTGCAGGTTCAGTGGTCCATGTTCCCCTAAAAAAGCAAGGTTTTCTCTAGCTTTTGTAAAATCATAGAATCCACATTGACCCTTCAAAACTGCATCAGGCTGGAGGACAGTCAGCTTTTAAGAGTCATACATCCAGTTTCTTAAGGCCTCATTAGCAACTAGGAATTACTTTAAAAAAATGACAAAAATGTGTATTCTAGAAATTGCCTGTCTTTATGTTGTCTGCCTTTTTTGCAAAGGCTCCTATAAGTAAGAGTCATAGTGCAAATCATTAATTTGTTGTAATTTGATAACAAGTTAGTGACTTGTGGCCAACTAACTCTTGAGTTTAAATGGCAGCTATCTCACAGGATGCAGAAAGCAAGGCAATTGTCCTTCATAAAGATAAGTCTATATTTTCAACTTCCCCTTATTAGAATGATCTATCACTTCGGAGACCATAAGCATGTGACACTTTATGCTGACTTTATGTGTATAGCCAGATAAACTATCTTGAAAAAAATCCCTCTTCTTACAGATGTGTCCAGGCCTCGATTAGTATAGTCACTATGTATGGGGTTAGTGGTCCATCTATGAGAGTCTAGTTGGACTACAACTCCTATTCCATCCTGGGGGCCCTAGGCCAAGGCAGTGGCCAATGTACAGAAAAGTCTGTTTCCTTCCTAAAGTTTTGCTCCAGCTCTGGAAATTGATTAAACATTTTTTAGTCTGTCTTGAAGAGAAAACGTAAACTTTTTTACATTTTTGGCCTATTAAAGCCCGCTTTGAGAACTGTCTATTCTCTTTTTCTTTCTACCTAGAGGAGCAAATGAATAAATAACAACAACAAAAAGCGAGTAAGAGAGGATTACACTTTGTCCCCCTTAGTTTTGTCACTGAGGCCAAAAGTAGCCAGGGTATCCCGTAAACTGTCTCCCGGGTTAGATTTTACGATTTCAAATCCATTGATAGATTTTATTTTGAGCCGACAGCAGCTCAGTTCCATTCATACTGTGAGGAACTCTGTAGCCACCCAAGCGCCGAAGGTCCTGCCCTGCCCCTCCTTCAGGTACTAAGCAGTGCTTTTACAGTGTTTGTTTGGGGTCATTCTGGAGAATCTTCCCCTTCTGCTCCTGTCTCTGAGGTTTCTGCAGCCTGGTAGGTGTGGTGATCTTCCAGGAAGGCTCATAGACAGCATATAGTTACCCCGAGGGCTACAGCTGATTAACCAAATGGCAGCAGATAAAGTCCAGAGGAAAGCGGGTCCGAGCTGCCGAGCCACTCCCAGTTGGAGTCACACAGGACGCACGCCATTCCCACTGCTGCGGTGTGGTGACACTTGAGAAGCGCTGCTCGGGGACGCACACCCGTGGTTGGTGCTGTGGTTTTCACTGGGGCTGAGTACAAGCCGTGCCCTACCTGGCACGTCCCAGGTTCAAGCCCTCAGAGGAAACCAGGTTTCAGTCTGGACCACACTGTGCAAACAGTTTAGCATAGGGAGCTCTGCTCATCACCTGGGGAGTAAGGAGCCTTCCTGAGATCCTCCTTCCCAGAGACAGAGAGAGCTAATCGTGCAGCAGGTGGGCAGACTGTGTCTCAGGCTTGCTCTGTGGTCTGTTTCCTATGCAAAATAAAAGTCTTTTAATTTTCCATTGTTACACATTTAGATGGTTGTCTTTGTTTTGCTATTACAGAAGATGTGATGGGTATCTTTCTAAAGTTTTTTTTTTCCTTTGGGTGCTAGGAATCGAACTCAGTACCTTGCGCTTGCCAAGCAGGTGCTTGTGCTGCTGAGTTATATGCCCGGCTATCTTTCTAACTTAAAATTATCTTGCTCATTTGAGAGCTGTAATTCCAAAAAGTAGAGTAAAATATCTTTTCTGGGAATTTTTGTATCTTTTTCTTTTTCTGAATGTATTTATATATTTTGTCCTCCCTGTTGCCTTTCTAAAATCTTACATATAAACAGCAAATTTTCCACAGCACTCATTGTGTGGATTGGTAAGTACTCACTGGTTTGTGTGTACGTGTTAAACGTAGGGCACTGTGGCTGCTCACCGGCTCAGCTGTTGTTTTTGGTGCTTGGACAGGTCCTAGCAGTGACAGTGTAGAGGAAGATATGAACGCGTCTGCCCGAGGAGCCTCTGCGACAGTTTTGGAGGAAACGAGGAAGGAAACTGCTCCTGTACAGCTCCCTGTTTCGGGGCCGGAGCTGGCTGCCATGATGAAGATTGGAACGAGGGTCATGAGAGGGGTGGACTGGAAATGGGGTGATCAGGTACTCAGAGGTTTGATTTAGTACATTAGCCACACACTGCTCACTTCTGCACGTCTTGATTTATATGACATCGGGGAACACCGGCATGTTAACTACTCTCACTCAGGACCTGTGTGGCCAGTAGATGATTGAGTTGTAGATTCATGAGCAGCTGGTGAGAAGCAGAGTCTACTCCAGGCGCCCTCACGTGGAGTCGGGTTGAGGAGTGGCCTGTGGCTCTGTGCTGTGAAGCTGGAACTGGAGTGGGAGTGAGCAAGAGAGGGGATCTCCCCTCCGAGTGCTGGCATTGCGAGAGCGTTGAGGCAGACCGCCCACACGCCACCTCTGCGAGCTGATGGCCACGTGCCACAAAGTGCCCTGAGGGCAGCAGTGTAGGCTGTGCTGGGGAGCGGGGTTGCTTGCAAATCTGTCACTTGCCTCCAGACAGAGGTCCCACTTACACGGTGCAGCTCAGTTAGGGCAGTGTTCTCCTTGTTGTGGTTGTGTCACTGCTCAGCAGGGCGTTTGTCACAGTGATGAGGGGAATGAGGGTGTTTGAGGACAGGTAGCAGCAGCGTATAAACAGCTTCCTGCCTTCAGGATGGGAGCTGCAGTGTCCTCTGGGGCCAAGTGGGAGACATGGAAAGGGGAATATGGAAGTGCTGGAACTTGTTTCAGGTTTTCACTCTTGTGCAGTCCACAGGGACTGAAGGGGTCAAGGAAAAACCTGTCAGGACCATGCTGGAAAGCCTGTCTCTGCATTTGCTCAGAGATCGCCCTGATTGAGAGGGCGCTTCCTCCCAGTTGCCGGGTAGAAGAGCATGAGTGTGTTACCGCAGGACATTGGCTTAGAATGATCAGAACCTTACGTTTTACACATAGGTTTGGGCCCATCTGTGACTGTGACGTCTGTGTACAGTGATGTGGGCTCTTCCCAGAGAGGGCAGCCACTGGCAGCGTCGGTGCGCACGTCCCTGGTGGCTGGATCACGGGAGCCTGGGTAGGACACCCCGTCTCCACTGGTCTTCCTTTTGGTTTTTGCAGGATGGGCCTCCTCCAGGCTTAGGCCGAGTGATTGGTGAGCTCGGAGAGGACGGGTGGATCAGGGTCCAGTGGGACACGGGCAGCACCAACTCATACAGGATGGGCAAAGAAGGAAAGTATGACCTCAAGCTGGCAGAGCTGCCAGCTTCTGCGCAGCCTTTGGCAGAAGACTCAGACACAGAGGATGACTCTGGTGAGTGAGGCACCCAGTTCTCGGCAGGCTGGCGCGCAGTTTCCTCTGGTCAGGTGTCACTTGCAGGCAGCGCCTTGGATTTGGGTGTGCTCTCTGGCCTGATTCCAGTGCAGGTGCACAGTGACTCTGGGGACCTTCAGCCCCACTGAACTGACTTGGTGAATTTACTCTTCAACCTTCCTGCTCTGCCTTTGGGAGCAGACTGGGAAGACAGAAGCACTGCCTCACTAGGGGTTTGTGTGGTTGGTGCTGAGCCCCTGCCTGAGGGAGCCAGTCATAGCGGGTGGGTTCAGCGTTGCCTCGGGCTGCAGGGCGCTCTGCCTCCCCCTCCACCAGCTCTGAAGTCTGCAAGCTTTCCTTTATCTCCCCCTTCAGTATGCTTCGTATAATGTGCAGGTAGCCCCCAGGAAACAAGGGAGAATTAGGGGGTGGACCCAGAAAATTTGGCCTGGTCTAAGGAAAGCCAGAGTTGTGAGAGGAGGGTTCACGATGTGCTTTAGATGTGTGTGAAAGAGCCCACAGTGTAGTGAGTATGTGGATGAAGCCTCACACTGCTGGCCTCAGCGCATTCGAGAGGCCAGAGCTGCCTTGCGGGGCTCTCTGTCAGGTGTTACTGAGTGCCAGCAGGGTTTAAGACTGCTCTTCCACTGAGCAGATGAAACCTGCAGAGGCGCTCAGGAGGGAGTGGTAGTGTGGAGGGTGGGAGAGGCTGTGGACCCCATAGTGTGACTTGAGATGCTTGTCCTGGGGACCATTAGGAATGAAGCACACGGTCTCCAGCAGTGGGGTCTGGCTGTCCTATCAATGCCGACCGCCAGCATGTGTTCAGGACCGGCCCCTTCTGCTGCCTGCTTACGAAGCAGGCCTGGCTCTTTGCCTGGAAGCTTTTGTTCCTGGGGAGTTGGCCCCTTGGGCAGTGGTGGGCAAGTGGCAGAAAGGTGGTCTCCTTGTTCTGCAGACACTTATGCTGGACATGGAAGCAGATGGTCTCCCTGCCCCACAGATATAGGTAGTTTACCCTTATCCATAACAGAGCCAACTCCTTAGAATCAGCTTGACATCTCATAAGTTGCCTTTTTTTTTGTATTGGGGATTGAACTCAGGGCCTTCACATTGAGCTATAGCTCCGGATTATTATTATTATTATTATTATTATTTTTATTTTGAGATAAGGTTTCATTAAGTAGCTGAGGCTGGCCTTGAACTTGCAGTCCTTCTGCCTAGGCTTCCCAAAGTGCTCTAATTTCAAGCGTGCGTCACCATGGCCAGTTGTAAGTTCAAAAGAAACAAAACGTTGGAATCATTTCAGTGCTTTCAAAGTATAGGCTTAGGTCATTTTTTTAAAAATTGCTTTTTCAAAATCTCATTTTCTTTTGAGCCAGATGGGAATAGAAATGACCAGGGCAGCCATGCACAGCTCCTGGGAGAGCCATTTGAGTCTAGGAATTTGGACTGCTTTGGACAACTTGGGGAGCTCTGGTATCTTAAAGACAGGGAAATGACCAGCGCATCCTTAGTTCTGTTTTTACTAGTTAAGATCTTCCCTTTCCAGAGTGAAAAAGAAGGATGCAGAATCTCTGTGCTTGTACTTAATTTTGCTATAAACCTAAAGCTCTGTAAAAATTGAAGTCTTTAAAATAAGAATGTGGTATTAAATCCCTTAAGTCATGTGCAAGGCCACCTTCCAATTGTATTGGGTGTACAGTTTCTTATTTCAGTTATCTTTTTCAGAAGCTGAACAAATTGAAAAGAACATTCACCCCACGGCAATGATGCTGACTAGCACTATTAACTTACTGCAGACTCTATGTCTCTCTGTGGGAGTCCATGCTGAAATCATGCAGAGCGAGGCCATCAAGACTCTGTGTGGACTGCTGCGAATGTTAGTGGAAAGCGGAACAACGGACAAGACATGTATGAATGAACAGTTGTGGGCCCAGAGTGTCAGTAGTGGGGCTGTGAATTTACCAAGTTTGTGTTTAGGTGGGCAAGTGTGGATGTGAGTATAAGTGTGGATATTAAGTTGCTGTGGCTGCTGTAACAGTTCTGTGCACCAGGTAGCAAGCAACGGAGAGTCTCAGCAGGGCTGGTTCCTCTGCGGCCTCCAAACTATCCCAGGCCTCTCCCCTAGTGTCTGGTGGTTTGCTGGTGATCTTCGACATTCCTCGGCTTGCAGTGTATTTCCCTAATATCTGGTTTCATGTTCATAGGGTGTCCACTCTGTCCAAATTTGCTTTTTTTTGGTAGTACTGGGGATTGAACTCAAGGCCTTTGCACTGGGCTGTATCCCAGCCCCCTTTTAAAAAACCTTTTAAATTCTATTATTATTTTGAGACAGTCTTGCTAACTCACTAAGTTGCCTAGGCTGACCTTGAACTTGGGATCCTCCTGCCTCGGCCTTACAGAGTGCTAGGATTATAGGCTTGTGCCACTGTACCCAGCTGCTATTTACTTTTTATAAGAATACTAGTTAACCTCATCCAAACTAACTATATCTGCAGTGACCCTGTTTCCAAGCAGGGTCACATCCTCAAGTATCAGGATCAGTGCTTCAGCATACAAATTTTGCAAGGACACGTTCAGTCCATAACACCAGGTTCAAACAACAAATTCATTCTCTTAGAATTCTGGACACCAGAAGTCTCAAGTCAAGTGGCCATCAGGGCTGTGCTCTTTCCATAGGCTGCAGCCAGGATCTTCACTTGCACTGTGCAGCTTCCAGTGGCTCCAGGCTTTCTTGGCTGTGGTTGCATCACTAGTCTTTCCTCTGTCTTCACATGGCCTCCTCCTCCGTGTTTCTTTGTCTTTTCCTATCTTACGGAGACTCATTGGATTTTGGGTTCATCCTAATCCAAAATGATAGCACTTAGTTCTTAATGACATCTTAGGGTCCAAGTAAGGTGGTACTCTTGAGATTGAGTGAACGTCAATTTTGAGAAGTACACATTTTAATCCCTTAAGTATTTGAGTGGTTTTTGATGTAGGTATGGGGAATATGAATTGGAGCAGTGGAGTTCATATGCGTATGTATCTGAGGGTGTGCGTGTGAGAGTGCTTGGTGACTCTGATGGAAAGTGTGAACATCTGTAAGTGTGAGCAAATGCGTTCAATGTGTGTGATTGTGTGAGCATGTATATTAACGCTGTGTGGGAGAATGTGGGTGAAAAGTGGGTGAGTTTGTGGGAAGTAGGAGAATGTGCATCAGTGTGATTGTGCGGGTATACACGTGAGTGGCTGCATGTGAATGTCCACACTTCTGTAAATGTGTTGCTTGAACTGTTAGATTACAGTGTGTGTGAGTACGCCAGCACCTGTGTCAGTGTGTCAGTTACGTGTGATGGTGAGGGTGTGACAGTAGTTTGAGAGTGTGAGGGTGTGAGATTTTGATATGCAGGAATGGGTGAGGGTGTTTGTGTTACTGTGTGGATGTGAGACTAAGCATGAAGAAATGAGCATGTATCAGGGTTAGTGTATGTGAGGGTGTAGTGTCTGAGTGTGTATGAAGTATGTGTGTGTATCAGTGTGATAACACAGGTGGTTAATGTTTGTGCTCCCGTGAAAGTGTATGAGCGGGGATGTCAGCATTTTGAGTGTGTCACTGAGCAAGAAGGAAGCTGCGTGTGATACAGTTATGAGTGAAGTGAGAAAGTGAGCTTGTGTGTATGAATGGGTTTGAGTGAAGGTGGATTGTGTAACTGCATCAGTGTTTGTGGGTTAGTCTGAATAATTGTGTGAGTGTATGTGAGCTTCGGTAGGTATGTGTGGCTGGGAGAGAGGGTGTATGAGTGCCCTGCGTGTGTCTTGGTAACTGTGAGTTAGTCTGGGTGGGTGTGCCGAGGGACTGTTAGTGAGTTGTGTCTTACGTTGGAGCGGTGAGGCTGGAGTGTGGGAGGGCTGGCTGGGAAGTGGGACAGGCAAGCTCCACCCATGTGGCAAGAGGAAGGCTGTGGGCAGCTACCTGGCGGAGCTCTAGCTTTGAGGCCAGGCCTCTTACTCTGGGGAATAGTTGAAAGGGTGTGCAGCCTGAGTGAGCATTAGTGAGCCAGGGACAGATGTGGTCCCAGTCCTGCCAGAGTCACTTTGTGCACACCTAGCAATAACCTCACACATGCTGTGTTAGTGCAGACTTCTCAAACATGGGCTAGAAATTTACAGTGCAGATTAAACATAATTGAGATCATGAGGATATTTAAAGCACATAAGATTTAAAAAATAAAGTAGGGGGCTGGCGGTTTAGCTCAGTCACACAGCTCCTGCCTGGCAGGGGCAAGGTCCTGAGTTCAATTCCCAGTACGAAAAAAAAAAAACCAAAAGTAGGTGCATGTTACCAATTAATGCTATTAGAATTATGGGTCATTTTTTGTGTTGCCTATAAACCACAAGTAGCTGAAAGACATTAATGGAGTCTGAGCTACTGCATGTACTTCAGAGGCTTAAAGATGCTGTGAATTGTTTCTTGAGCGAGATTAAAAGCCATCTCCCACTCCTTTCCCACATATATGTCCCATTGTAATAAATCTGAGAAGTAGTAGTTTAATGAAAAATAAGAATTATGTGCACACTATTACTTTTAGAGGCTTGGTGCCAACCAGGTTTATCTTTCTCCTGGCAGCTTCTCCCAGCAGACTGGTGTGCAGGGAGCAGCACCGCAGCTGGTGCACGCTGGGATTCGTGCGGAGCATCGCACTCACCCCGCAGGTGTGCGGGGCTCTCAGCTCCCCGCAGTGGATCGCACTGCTCATGAAGGTTGTGGAAGGGCATGCGCCTTTTACTGCAGCATCACTGCAGAGACAGGTAATGTGAGGCCAGGCAAGACCTGGTCCACTCAGGCACCTGCATAGCAGCACTCCCAGCCTGGGAAACAAGCACCTTTATTGCCTTTATTCAGTAGTGGGCATAGGAAACAGCAAGAAGTCACATGAAGCAGCTCTTCTGAGAGAAGTGGGTGAAGTTCTTGATTGGTTGTAACTCTTTCTCCTAAGTGATTAAATTCTGCATGTGTTCTCCTTTGTGTCACCAAGGTGGTAGTATAATAGTCTTCAGAAGAGTTAAAAGAACTATGTTTAAATTAAATACATGCGTTTATAATGTAGCTTTTAAAAATGATGATCCTTATCATTAATTGATTAAATATCAATTTCACTGATTAATTGTATTATAGAGGCAAAAGTGAAAGAAAAATCTGTAAAGCTTTAATCTGTCAGATAATGACTTTCTGTAAAACATCTCACTTAATTCTCTCTGACCAGATTTTAGCCGTGCACCTACTGCAGGCTGTCCTTCCATCGTGGGATAAGACGGAAAGGGCGAGGGACATGAAGTGCCTTGTGGAGAAGCTGGCTGGCTTCTTGGGCAGTTTGCTCACCACTTGCCCTACTGATACCCCATTACTCAGAGGTGGGTGGCTTTCTTCTCACTGCGGCTCCCGGTGGCAGGCAGCACACAGTGCAACTTCTCCCCTTCGTCCCCAGAGTCAGCGCTGAGGAGGCGGAGGGCTCGACCGCAGGCCTCTCTCACTGCCACACACAGCAGCACGCTGGCGGAGGAGGTGGTGGCGCTGCTGCGCACCCTGCACTCTCTGACTCAGTGGAACGGACTCATCAACAAGTACATCAACTCCCAGCTCCGTTCCATCGCCCACAGCTCTGTGGGGAAGCTCTCGGAAGGGGTGCGTTCCACAGTTTGGAATGAACTTGGTCGTTTGTTTTGGGGGTGGTACTGGGGATTGAATCCAAGGCCTTTGCCCTCGCACTAAGCTACATCCTCAGACCTTTTGTATTTTTTATTTTGAGACAGCATCTCACTTGAGTTGCCCAATCTGGGCTTGCAGTCCTCATGCCTCAGCCTCTCGAGTGCTGGGATTGCAGGTATACATCACCACACCCATCAAGCTTGGTTATTATTTGTCGAATGTGAATTTTACTTTTAAATTATCTATCTAAACACTGCCTTTTATTTAAAGACGTGTAAAATCTTTTTAATGGAAAGAATCATTGAAGAAATTTTTATGAAAATTAATGTGGTAGCACATACCTGTAATGTCAGCTACTTGGGAGACTGAGTTAGGAGGATCACCTGAGCCCAGGAATACGGGGCCAGTTTGGGTAACTTAGTGTGAGTCTGTCTCCTAAAGAAATTACAAGAGTTACATTTTGTTGTAAATTTGTAAGAGGGGCTGCTCTGTTGGCATCCCTTGTTAAACTTGTTGTTTGACATCTGCACTAGGCCCAGTTAGAAGACTACTTTCCTGACTCTGAGAGTCCTGAAGTGGGGGGCCTCATGGCAGTCCTGGCTGTGATTGGAGGCATCGACGGTCGCCTGCGCCTTGGGGGTCAGGTCATGCACGATGAGTTTGGAGAGGGCACCGTGACTCGCATCACTCCCAAGGGCAGAATCACCGTGCAGTTCTCGGACATGCGCACGTGCCGTGTTTGCCCACTGAGCCAGCTGAAACCAGTAGGTGGACTGAGTAATGACACGTGGTACTAGAGCTGGCTGCTGACGTTAGAACCCGAAGGGAGTTGCGCTTCTCATCTACCTTCAGGAGCACCACTTCCTTCTGCCTGTGTTAGCTGTGCTTTGGGAGAAGCCGGCTGGTCTCACAGGGGCGAGCAGTGGTTCACATGTTGTTCTTTAGCCCCAAAGATCTGAGGACATTAGTACTCTATAAGCCAGTTTTAATTATTTTTAAACATGAAGTTATTAAATACACTTTTTATTAAAAGCTCAGTTTTAAAACCTTAAAGTGATTCTTTACGTGTTAGTGACAAGACTTAGCAGTTACTGTGAGTTAGGGAAGCATAGGGAAGATGAGTGATACATGTTATTTTGGTGTAACCCAGAGGCAGTTTCACTGTACCTTTCTGTAAAATACTGTTGTGGGTTATTATAGGAATGTATGTTACAGAACATTTGAAATGTATAGCACATATCTAAGAGACAGAAACTATCATGCTGATGTAATTATTGTTGACTAATTAGTAAAGAAAAAGTTGATAGAGGTGATAGTTTTATATATATATATTGTCTTCCCATTAACGTCATATTTTAAAATTGTTCTAGATATGAAGTGATGGAGTATTGTGGTATTTCAGAGTTAGGACTCAGACTGTTTCGTGTTTTAATCTCCTTGGTCACACTGTGACAGTTTCTGTGTCCTCTCTCCAGCTCCCTGCTGTGGCCTTCAGCGTGACCAACCTGCCCTTCACAGAGCCCATGCTGTCTGTCTGGGCTCAGTTGGTGAACCTTGCCGGAAGCAAACTGGAAAAGCACAAAATAAAGAAATCCCCTAAGCAGGCTTTCACAGGTCAGTGCGTGATGCTTCTTGGTGAAAGAGTTGCAGTCTTAACCTAGCATTGCTTGGGCAGTGTTTGCTTTTCATCAGTGAAAAGCAGTGACATAGCACGTCTAAGAGTGAGCTCTTACAACTGCTGATATCTTGGGATTCACATGGACGTACAGTTTGTTGAATTGAGTTGGAACGTAAGCTGTGTATGGCGATTAGAGTGTTTGTGAGTCAGTCTTCGACTTTGTGTTTGGAACCTCATGTGAAGAACTCAGCGCTCACCCCTTTTCTCAGTGCCAGCACTTGTTCTGAGCAGGCTTTTAGACGAGGAGTCTGTTCCCTTCCTCTGTTTACCCTCCAGCTCGTGGCCTTGTGACTCAGCCACCCTTTTGGAATTTTGTTCACGGCCTGTTTGGTGCTAGCTCCATGGGACTTTGTATTGGTTCTGCCTTCCTTTGTGTGCACAGTGGGCTAAGCAAGACTTTGACCATGCTTACTTAAACTCTTCCTTTGGGTCTCTAGTACTGCTCCTGTGATTTTCCTTTCCTAGTACCTGAGTATTCTTTTTTTTGTCTTTTTTCTTTCCCTTTCTTTTTTTTTTTGGTAAGACAGCATTGTACTATGTAGTTCAGGCTGGCTTTGAACTCACAATGAAGCACAGGTTGCCCTCGAATTCATAATGATCCTCCTGCTTCAGCCTCCCAAGTGCTGGGATTAGAGATGTTCACCACCACGCCTGACTGCACATGAGTAGTCTTCAGAGATGCTTTCCCTGTTTATTCTTTACACTGGAAATCCTTGTGGTTTTACCTGAACTTCTGATTCATTCTGCCCACTCTGGAGTTTTCTCCCGTTTCTTCCCTAACGTCTTACTGCGGCTCTACCATTTTTTATAACAACCTTTACCTGTATCTAGAATTTGCATACCGGACTGGAGGGCCCATGCATGTGATCATAGCCTGTCTAAAATTCAGCCCACCTTCTGCAGTAACCTCCCATTCCTGTGATAGTGAACAAACCTGTCTGCTAGTTGGTCAGGCTCAGTGCCCAGGGTCCCTACTGTTCCTCACCTCGGGTTCCCTTGCTGTCTTTTAGATCTCTGCCATACCCTGCTTGAGGATACTCCTGCCACACCTGCAGTTCAGGCCTGTACTCTGGTGGCTTTCTTGGTCTGCTCTCAGCTAACTGGGGTCTTCATCAGTTACAAGGCTGGCTGAGTCTGACAGAATTTTTTCAGAGGAAATCTTACAAGAAAAATTGGAAGTATTTTGTGACCTAATTATCAGTTAAAATTTCTGCAATTAGAAATGAAATAGGTGCTAAAGCTAGCCATGGCTAAAATGTGGTTCTGACCCTCACTTCAGTTTGTTGAAAGGAAGGAGGAAGACCACAGAGTTAGAAGATGTTTCCCTGGAAGGAGCAGGACATGGTTTATCGCTGCATCTGAGAGCTGGCGCAGCTGGTGAGAGGAGCCCAGGGAGAGTGTGTGGCTCTTACTGGATTCTTGTATTCCACAGGACAGGTAGACCTGGATCTACTGCGGAGCCAGCAGTTAAAGCTGTACATACTGAAAGCAGGGTGGGCACTGCTTTCCCACCAAGATAAACTGAGGCAGATCTTGTCTCAGCCAGCTGTTCAGGAGACTGGAACTGTTCATACAGGTATTTTTTTTTTTTTTGGTACCAGGAATCAAACTCAGGACCTTGTGCTTGCCAGGCAGGTGCTGTGCTGCAGAGCTATATCCCCAGCCCCCATACAGGTATCTTTTTAAAGAAAGCTCTTACAGATTTATAAGAAAGGCAGCTACTCTGACAGAAAAATAGGCAAAGGATTTGAACAAACAGTTCTTAAAAGGTAAGAGGGGAGATACAGCTTATATAAGAAAGGTAAATAACCTGACCACCTGCTCTCAGCAGCCATGAATGCAGTTGTCTCATCAGACAGGTTGTTGGGGGGTGGTACTTTTTTCCTTTTTTTGTAATGGTCTCGGTGTGTATTTTGGGTGGGCCTTAAAGGTTGATGTACCCTGAGCCAGTCATCTTGAAGGAATTTGTTACATGAAAAAGGATGAAGATAGAGTGTTTATCAGTCCCCATCATGGCTTCTTTTTTGGTATTGAAAAACTGGAGACAATAAGACTGTTATGTAGGGTGTCCATGCAGTGGTATACCAAGATGCCATTCAAAATGATGATGCATGTGCTATGTTTAGTGCTGTGGAAACATGAAAACAGTGAGTAAATAAACAACTAAAACTATAGTGCTCTGTCTGTGGTTTGTTTTTTTTATTTTGGTGCTGGGAATTAAACTCAGGACCTTGCACTTGCTAGGTAGGCACTTGTGCTTCTGAGCTAGATCCACAGCCCCATGCTATGTATTTGTAGATATAGCCTAGATTCACCTGTTTAACATTTGAGTGCTGGAGTTGAGGTTGATTTTTATTTTCTTTATGTATTTCTATATTCAGTGTTCTAAAATGAGCTTGTATCTCTTCATAGAAAAAAATGCCATGAAAAATGTTTTGATCATTGATCCTAATGTCTTAAAACAGCAATGAGTGACATTTTGCTGAGCGTTAAGGGGAAGTAGTCCTTGGTTGTGATCATCGCTGTAGGGTTGGAATGGGAAGGAGAATGGCTGCAGACGGCGCAGTGCACTGTGTGGGGCCGTGTGCTGCGGGATGTGTGAGTGCAGCGCCGTAGGCATTCCAGTGGCAGAGACCACTGGGGATGAGGGCAGGTGGCCTTTTGAGGGTGCAGCAGACAGGTTCTGGGAGACAGCGAGTCTCTGTGGAGGACTCGGGGCGTGAATAGAGACAGCGAGTCTTTGGAGAATATGCAGCAGCTGCTTTGCTTCAGCTCGGGGCTTGTTGATGAACAGTGGGGCTAGAGTGGAAGAGGTCAGCTGCTGTCCTTTCGGAGCAGGTGAGGCTTGAGGCTGCTGACAGTTGCGGTGGGAGAGCGTGTGACAAGTGTTGGTAGTTGGGTGGTTAAATTACTGGTGAGCACAGGAGCATTTGAAATGTGAGATAGGGAAAGGGAGACTGCTCTTGTGTCAGGTGGCAAGGTGTTTTCCGGGGAGGCATGAAAAGCGGAGAGAATTTTCAGTAGACACTGTAATGGAGCAGCCTGATAGTAACGGTGCGAAACCAGCAAGACGGCAAAAACACCGATGTTCTAGCTGGAGTTGTGTGGAGAGCAGTGAGTGTGACGTGTTTAAAGGAGATTAGGAAGTCTGCTGAAGGTGGAATGTGAGCCTGCTTCTTTCTGGTCTTAGAAGGAGAAGGTATTATGAAAATATTTTTAAACCTGCTGAGTGTGAGAGAAATTGATTGGAAGTGCAGATTCATTAAGTGGTGGAGATGTTAAAGAACTTTGAAAATAATTGGCCTCTCCAGGGATTAGGGAGCAGAACCTGGGCATTGGGTTGGTTTTTCTGTGATTGCCTGATGGCCTGTGAACAGTAATGGGACAGATGAGCCAGGTCCTCTTCCATGCTTTGAGCAGAGCGTGCGCCCCGATGGAGTGTCTACAGCAGGGTTGGGCAAGTGACAGCAGCACCTGCCCTTTGAAAAAAGTGTATAAGAAAACAGGCCCGGCCATGGTTTATACTTTGTCTCTGGCTGCCTTTGCTCTACAATGGCAGAGATGAATAGTTATGGCAGAAATGAGTAGTTACGATGGAGACCATGTGGCCCATAAGCCTGAATTATTTTCTAACTGCTTCTTTTTTTTTTTTTTTTGGTTTTTCTCCGGTACCAGGAACCGAACTCACGACCTTGCGCTTGCCAGGCAGGTGCTTTTGCCGCTGAGCTAAATCCCCAGCCCCTTCTAACTGCTTCTTGAGGAAGATTTCCAGTCCCTCTGGTGTAAATGGTTAGGTGAAGTTGTCACCAAACAGAACAAACAAATGCAGGAAAAGTACTGTGAATCCTGCGTGTTTGTCCTTGGGCCAGTGGCTGTCAATGGGATTATGGCAAACACAGTCTTAGAGACCTCATGCAGAGCCACGCACAAAATTCAGGCATCACTCTGACCAAGTGGCACATTGAGAATTAGGGTTACACAGTGATCTGTACAGGTTTTAGCAGAAGTCAGAGCTAGAAATAGCAGTATGGGATGTGACTGTAGCAGGAGTTCTTGAAGCCAAGAGTTAGCAAGAAGGAGAAGGTAGAAGAATTAGACCAGGAGTAGGAACGTGGGAAATAGCTTTTGCTGGCCTTAAGTGACGGATAAGCAGATGAAGCACAGAGGTCAGAAAACAGGGAATGGAAAATGTGTAGAGCCTACTTTTTGTTTGATGTCTGAACCTGAAGATTTTAGTTGTGTATCACCTAATTAAACAATAATTAGTTGGGATTGCATTGAATCTGTATAACAGTTTTGGGAGTATGACCATTTACACAAAAATCAGAAGACCCCAAAATTCAATGACCCAATCAAAAATGGGCATCTGAGATGAATGCACACTTTTCAGATGAAGAAATACAAATGGCAAATAAATGTATGAAAAAACGTTCAACATCATTGGTCATTTGAGAAGTGGAAATTAAAACAGTAATTAGATCTGGTTAAAAATATTCAGTGCATTCTCTTTAATAATAATGAAGTATTGCTGTTGGAAATAGAATGTACCTGTTCTGTTTCTAAATTCAGATGATGGAGCAGCTATATCCCCTGAGCTTGGGGACATGTCTCCAGAAGGACCACAGCCCCCTATGATTCTCCTACAGCAGTTACTGGCTTCAGCCACCCAGCCATCTCCTGTAAAGGCAATATTTGATAAACAGGAACTTGAGGTACAGTCACATAACCTTGATGATTTACCCAGTGTACTAAATTGTGAATGACTTTTTTCCTAGATGTGTGTTTTCTTAAAAGTATATTTTAAATTTTAAATGATAATGCCAAATAATAATTATGGCTACTTAGCATCAGCTGTTCTTGTGCCTAGGCAGCAGAACATCTTCCTAGATAAAGAATGAGAAGGCTAAGGGTAACATTATTTTGGACCTGTGTAAATTTTTTGAACAATTAACTGGGTTCAGCATGGGTTACATGCTCATATATCCATGGGGGTCTTTCTCCAGGCCCTGTGTGATGAAGGAGGCAGGAGAATTATTCGATGACCAAATTTTTTTCTACATTAAACTGGGAAACTTTGCATTGGTGTTTCCTGACGTTTTATCAATTCATTTAAAATGTACCCTTGTAAATCTGGGCTTCCTGTACTTCTGTACTGCTGTTCTTAGTGACACTGGTCTTTCACACTTGGTTAGTGTGTAAGTTAAGTGAGGGTGCTGGTACACACCTCCACACACTTCTTGTCTGCCCAGGCTGCTGCTTTGGCCGTGTGTCAGTGCTTGGCTGTGGAGTCCACTCACCCAGCAAGCCCAGGCTTCGAGGACTGTAGCTCCAGCGAGGCCACGACGCCCATCTCTGTGCAGCATACCCGCCCAGCCAGGGCGAAGAGGCGCAAGCACTCGCCGGCTCCTGCTCTGCCGATTGTAGTGCAGCTCATGGAAATGGGCTTTCCTCGCAGGAACATTGAGTTTGCTCTGAAGTCCCTCACTGGTGCTTCTGGGAATGCGTCGAGCTTGCCTGGTATTGCATTCTCCTTTTTGGTGCTCGTTTGCTTATGGGTTCACAGTTTAGCACTGTTGGTCTTCATGGTGGCCTGTGTGTGTTTGTGTTTAGGTGTGGAGGCCTTGGTAGGCTGGCTGCTGGACCACTCCGATGTCCAGATCACAGAGCTCTCGGATGCAGATACCGTGTCTGATGAGTATTCGGATGAGGAGGTGGTGGAAAGCATGGAGGATGCAGCCTATTCTCTGGTCAGTACCTGCGCGTGCCCTGCCCATCCAGGGGTCCACATACTGTGTGTGTCACTTCGCTCTGTTACTTGGGAGAACCAGCTGTATCCCCTGTGGACTGTCCAGAGGGCTCTCTCACAGTTCTGCTGGGCACAGAACAAGGTTGTCTGTTTTGGTATTAAAGTGCTCATTGGGTTTTCTATATTGTGATTTCTTTAAAACAGACCCTTGTTCAAACATCTACTGGTATTGTGTAGTCATGAGAAGTATTTCATTAAAAAGTCGTGTTTTCTGACACTGATTTCTCACCTGAGTAAATTGTTTCATAGGATTCATTTGGAAATGCCTTGAAATTTTCCTATACTTACAGCTTTTGAGATTTCATTTCTGCTTACTATTTATTGGTTTTAGTATTTTTAAAATGATGACTTTTATAGAGCATATATAGTATTTATGCTTTACAAATTTCAGACTTTTTTTCTTTAAACTAGGTTTTTCTATTCTCATTTTCTTCTTTTTCTAATGTATTTGTCTTGTAGTCTACTGGTGCTGTTGTGACGGAGAGCCAGACTTACAAAAAACGAGCTGATTTCTTGAGTAATGATGATTATGCTGTGTATGTCAGAGAGAACATCCAGGTGAGTCATCTTAGGCTGGGCCCTGGCTTGTTACTTCATTAAGTGAGTAGTAACTTGAGCCTCTCCTATATGCTGAGCTTCAGTGGACAGAGGCTTCTGATCTCGGGGAGCCAGCAGACAGTCAGACATACCCCACCACGTCTGGCATCTGTCAGAGGGGAATGCACACTGTTGGAGGAGTGGGTAGAGTAAAGGGGTCAGAGTCAGCGTGCGCTCAGGGTGGCGGTTGGGGGCTGTGTGGGCAGGTGTGGTGTGAAGCACAGCTCGGGCCCTCCGAGAGAGCCGTGCATGTGGCTAGCAGACGGAGTAGTGGGCAGTGGGCAGGGGTTCCTGAGCTGGAGAGCAAAGGTGGCCCCGTCCACAGCGGAGTTGGTGTAGAGGTGATGTTGCTCATCCCCATTGTGACATTTCAGTTTCGCGTGTTTTTCTTATATTTTTTTACAATCCCGTTGCCATCTAACTTGTAGTATTTTGTATATTCCGTTATCCACCTTAAATCGTTCTTTTTCATATCCTTATTCTTTTGTTTTAGTGTATTTGAGCAAACTTAAGAAGTACCTCATTTTACCTGTAAATATATCAGTATATCCTGATGAAGGATTTTAACACGGTGATGTTGCTCTTTAACCAAAGTTACCTAACAAAATAATTCCTTAGTGCTGGGGATTTAGCTCAGCGGCAAAAGTGCCTGCCTGGCAAACGCAAGGTCGTGAGTTCGGTTCCCGGTACTGGAGAAAAACCAAAAAAAGTATTAGGTGCACAAAATAATTCCTTAGTATCATCTCATATCCACTGCTTGCTCATGTTTCTCTCATTTTCTCAAAAAATGGCTCTTTATGTTTAGTTATTCACATATAAACAAGATCGTACCCCTGTTCTTTAGGTCATGTGTCTCTCTGTGGTTTTTTTTTTTTGGTATTGGGAATTGAACTCAGGACCTTGCACTTGCCAGGCATGGACTTGTGCCACTGAGCTATATCCCTGGCCTGGTTGTGTGTCTCTTAAAACTCTTTTAGGCTAGAATAGTTTCCCTTTGTCCTACCTTGGGCTACTCTATCAGCACCATAGAGCGGGTGGCTTTAACACAGACATTCCTTCATCACAGTTCTGGAGGCTGGAAATCTGAGACCAAGGTGCCTGCGTAGGGGTTTTCTGCTTAGGAACTTCTTTCTGGCCTTCTTTTCCCTGTGTCCACACATAGGATGGGGAAGGGGAGTAGGAGCGAGCAGGTAACTTTGGTATCTTCTTGTAAGGACACTAGTCCTTTTTTTTTTTTGGATATCCCATCCTTCTGATCCTATTTAGCCTGAATTAATTCCTTAACAGCCCTATTTCCTAATGTAGCTGCATGGAGGGGTAGGGCTTCAACACATGACTTTTCAGGAAAACACAAACATTCATTTCATAACACCCCCTTGACATCCTTTAGTCCTTCCCGTTGGTTGGTTGGTTGGTTGTTTTGAGACACTTTGTAGTTCAGCCTGCTTCAACTAGTTGTATAGCCCAGGCTGGCCTCGAACTCATGGTGATCCTCCTGCCTCAGCCTCCTGAGTCCATGTATTTATTCATGGATAAAGCGGTGTTCTTGAAATGTCTTGTATTCTGGATTTTGTGACGGCTCCCTTGTGGTATTGGCTAGCATCTTCCTTTGTCTCTAATGTTTAAAGTAAGAGTGTTAGAAGATAACTCAGGCTGAGCCCTAGGCAGGAATACTTCTTAGACGCACTGTGCTCCATCCTGCCTTGTGTTGATGGCATGCAGTGTGGGATCAGTTAGATCTTGCCAGCTTGCTCCTTCCACGATCAGGTTCTCCATTAACTGTTGCATCTTGTAGCTCACTGGATGCTCATTGGTGCATTGTCTAAACCCCATCACTGGGGTTTAGTGATGGGGTTTAGACACTTACTAAACCCCGTTACTACATGATAGTAATTTTCTAACTTTGTCATCCTTTTTTAATTTATTAGCTTAAGTTCTTTTCTGTGCAGGGAAAACTTTTCTTGTCAGCTTTGGTTACATTTTATAATAGTTTTTACAGGAAAGGCAGAATAAATGCTTGCTTTATTTTTTTGCAAGGAGGACTTACCAGTTTTCAGAATGATGTATTGGTGCTCCAGTGCTTATAACGGCGATTATTATGGTGATGAATGCATTTTCTTTAGGACTCGATACATTCTTGAGGACTGTGTTTCCTTTTGACAGAGCCGGCTTTTGAGCGAGCCTGGTATTCTTTAACAGCTCCCTTTGTGGCACAAGTTGATCCAGGCTCATCTTTTATACTTCATACCCAGATGTAAAGCTAGCCAGTTTTCTGGTTCCATTTAGTCTAACTAATATTTAGACTACATTCCAGGTACTAAGCAGAATCTTAGAGATTACTACTACTTAAAATGGTTCATTCTATTTAGATACACTGGACTGGACTTTCATTTTAATTTTAGGTGGGAATGATGGTTAGATGCTGTCGCACATATGAAGAAGTATGTGAAGGTGATGTGGGCAAAGTCATCAAGCTGGATAGAGATGGGCTGCATGACCTCAATGTGCAGTGTGATTGGCAGCAGAAAGGGGGCACCTACTGGGTTAGGTACATTCACGTGGAACTCATAGGTGAGCACTGTCTTTATTAAATGCTTTTGTGTTTTTTCTTTGAGACAGAGTTCCCAGAAATGAATGCTAATTATATTGCGTTTATTGCTGAACTCTCTAGGCTATCCTCCACCAAGTTCTTCTTCTCACATCAAAATCGGTGATAAAGTACGGGTCAAAGCCTCCGTTACCACGCCAAAATACAAGTGGGGATCTGTGACTCATCAAAGTGTGGGAATTGTGAAAGGTAATATTACCTAGGGAACAAAGTTCCAAATGTTAGCTTTTCATTACCTCAGAGTTCTTATTCTCCCATAATTTAAAGGTAAAAAAAAATCCGAGTGTGAAGGAAGTGGTTTTTGGCTATCAGTACAGTATGTCTCAGTTGAACAAAGTCAGATGTTTTAGTTCATTGCAATGTGGGAAGACACATGCCCAGGGCCTGGGTGTCTCCCTGAAGGATGTCAGTGAGAGCTCATGAAGAGTGTGTTGAGTATTTGGCAGAGAGTTTGAGGAAATTAGGGGTAATGCTAAACTTACATTTTGTACCGATCTTAAAATTAAGATCGGTACAAAAGTAGTCATTCATGTTAGCCAGGAGAGAAGAACTTGTGATTATATTTGCTATTTGAATTAGAGTTGACTTTGATCATACAGGGTTAAGGAGGGCTTTGTTTTAGCCTTGATCCATCAGTCACAGGATGGCCTTGTCTGATGTTGGAGTTCTGTTAATGTGCCCTGTCATTTGGTCTTCAGTGGACCAATGTGTGAGACCACCTCCCTGCTGTTAGGGACTGTGTTTCTGTTTTTCATACTCAATAAAAATTTAGGACTAGATTTAAGAAATGGAAATGTACCAACTATGGGCCTTAGGATCTAGAAACAAAAATTCTCCTCAGGTTATATTTAATGTGGTATAGAAATTTCCTGAAATATGGCACACTCTGACAGATATGTCTATTTTAGCAGTTGCATGAGAAATAAATATGCTTATTGTTTTATCACTAAATGCTTTCGATGTCACAGTGGTAGTGCTTCCCAAGTGGATGAGGGGCATTGTTGAAAGTTCTGTTTATACAAAAACAAATGGCTTATTTGATATTTTACTTTTTAAAAAATTTACAGATCAAAGCAAATTTTGAAAAGAATGTGGTTTCTAAGTTAGTATTTTGAGTCACACCTTACTTTTGTTAAAGGATAAGAGACATTAGTAATATGGTTTTTATTTTCTAACATACCAAATGTACTAAATGGAGTTTAAGTTGGGTGTGGTGGCCTTTGTCTATAATCTGAGCACTTGGAGGCTGAGGCAGGAGGATTGTTGTGAGTTCGAGACTAGCCTAGGCTGCAGAGTGAGCTCAAGGCTAGCCTGAACTGCGTAGCAAGACCCTGTCTCAAAAAGACCAAAAAAAGAAAAGAAATTTATTTTAGTTGGTGTAATTATAGACCTTTGGGTGGAAAATGATAAATATATACAAAAGTAGAGAATATAGTATGATGAGCTTTCATGTGCCTCTTCCTTCATGATCCCCTTTTGATTATTTTGAAGCTAGTTCATTTCATCTATAAGTATCTTAGCATATACCTTTAAACCTCTAAAAGATAAATACCATTTTTGAAATACGACGAATTCCGATATATTACATGGCTAGGTGAGTTTTAATTTTAAATTGGCAATAAAGATGTCTCAGGTAGTTTTTCTGTCCTAGCTTTCAGTGCCAATGGAAAAGACATCATTGTTGACTTTCCCCAGCAATCTCACTGGACTGGATTGTTGTCAGAAATGGAGTTGGTGCCTAGTGTACATCCTGGAGTTACGTGAGTTTTAATTTTTATGATTGCTACATTTGTTTTGGGAGGGAGGGTTTTATTTGAATTAAGTTTAATTAATAATACCTTTTTTAAATCAACTCAATGACTGTTTTAAAAATAGGTGTGATGGCTGTCAAATGTTTCCTATCAATGGATCCAGATTCAAATGCAGAAACTGCGATGACTTTGATTTTTGTGAAACGTGTTTCAAGACCAAAAAACACAACACGAGGCATACATTTGGCAGAATAAATGAACCAGGTAGGACAGAATGGTTATCCATCAAATATGACTAGTGAGATAATTACTGTGAACAGTGTATTGGAATGTGTTCTTTTAGGTTCATAAGTATATACTGAGTACTGCAGAGCAAGCACAGTTAGACACAAGGAACAGTCCTACCCACTGGTAACTGGGTTTTTTTGTTTTTTTGTTTTAATTAGCCAGAGGCATTGGAGTAACGGGATTTGTTTTGTTTATCCTTTCAACTGTTAATGAACATTCAGGTTGCTGCCACTCTTTGGCTATTACAAATAATGTTGCTGTATGCCTCAGTGTTCAGGTATCCACGTGAGTCCTTGTTTTCAAAACTTCTGGGTATGTACGTAGTAGTGGACTTTCCAGGAGCTTATGATACTCTTTAATTTTTGGAGTTACTGCCAAAATATTTTCCATAGTGACTGTCCCATTTTGTATTTCCACCAGCAATGTAAAAGGCTTCCAATTTCTCACCCTCCTCACCAGTACCTATAATTTTACAGTTTTTGATCATGGCCATCCTGCAGTGGGCGAACAGTAGTATCTTGTGAATTTTCTTTGGTTTTTTGTTTGTTTGTTTTTTTGAGACAGCGTCTTGCTATGTAGTTCAGGCTGGTGTTGAGCTCACTTTGTAGCCCAGGCTGGTCTTGAACTCGCAACTATCCTCCTGCCTCAGCCTCCCGAGTGCTGGGTTTACAGGCATGCACCACTATGCCCGGCCCGTATCTTGTGAATTTTGATGTGACTCTCCCTAATGACAGATGATATTGAATCTCTTTACTTTTTTTATTTTTGGCCATCTGTATACCTTTTTTGGAAGAGGGGGATAGTTTTTCAAATTCTTTGCCCATTTAAAAGTTTGTGATGTTGACTTGTAGGTGTTTTCTGCATATTATGGATATTACAGCCTTATCAGATATGTATTTACAAATATTTTATCTCATTCTGTGGGTCATCATTTTACTCTTGATAGGATCTTGTGTCACACAGAAGTTCTAAATTGTAATGACTTTGCTTGTACATTTTGGTATCTTGTTTTTGTTGTCAGTTGAAGTAACAGTTGTCATGAAGATTAGCCTGTTTCTTTCTAAGAATTTTGTAGTTTTAGTTCTTAAATTTAGCTCTTTGATTCATTTTGAGTTAATTTTAAAGTATAACGCATCCGACTTGTTTTTTTTTGCATGTGTGTACCTAATGTTCCCAGCACCCCATTGAAAGGTCTTACTGAGTCCCTCACAGAAAGTCAGTTGGCCATAAATGTGAGAGTTCATTCTGAGTTCTTAATTCTATTAACTTGAACTATTTGTTTACCCCTTATGCCAACTACCACGCCATTATGATATAGCGATCGTGATAGCTTTGTAGTAAATTTAGAAATTGAGCAGTGAGTCCTCTTATTTGTTCTCTTTTAAGATTGTTTTGGCCATTTGTTGTCCCTTGAAATTCCAAATGAATTTGGGTCTGAATTTTCCCACTTACGTTAGAAAAAAAGCCACTGGGATTTTCATAGCAATTGTACTGACTCCCCACAGTGCTTTGGGCAGTGCATCATTTGAACAATGTTAAGTCTTTCAATCCGAATATAAAGCATGTCTTTCCATTTGCATAAGTCTTGTTTATGCTTTCAGTGATACAGCAGATAATTTCTTTCGGTAACACATTGTAATTTTCAGTGTACAGTCTTACTCCTTGTTTTTTCCCACGTTTTAGAATTCATGTACGTTGGATGTACAGATTGGAGGATTTCATTGTGGCGGATTCGTCCATACTCCTGGCATTTTCACTCTTCTTTACCCCCTTGCCTTGCCTGCCTTTTTACACTTTCTCGATTAAAATTATTTCTGAGTATTTGTTTTGCATGCTATTTTAATGGAAATGTTTTCTTAACTTTCTTTTTGGTACATGTATTGCTAGTGTATAGAAAGAAATTGGGTTTTGTGTGTATGCAGCAACTTGGCTGACTTTATTTCCTCTAACAGTTCTTCTGTGTGTGGATTCTTCTGAATTTTCTACATACACGCTAATGTCATTTGTAAATAAAGACAGTCTTAGCTCTTCTTTTTCAGTTTAAGTGCCTTTATTTTCCTTTCCTGCTCCCCTGTTCCATCCCCCTATCCTTTTTTGCTTTGTCCACATTATCTCTTACTTTGTTGGATAGAAGTAGAAAAGGTGGGCATTCTTGTCTTCCTCATTAGGGGAAAACGCTTCAGTCTTTCACAGTTGAGTATCATATTAACTGTGAGTTTTTTATATATAATTTTTATCATCTTGAGAAAGTTTCTTTTATTTCTAGTTTGTAATTTTCTTGGGAGACCTGTGTCATTTGTAGAATCTGTAGTGCTGTTCCCTTTTCAAGCTTTATCTTGAATATTTTTTTCCCCATTAGTCTGCAATTAGTTTATCAGTTAATTAATCTTCAGAAAACCAACTTTTGGCTTTGGTTTTCGGTCTCGCATATTTTTACCATTCCTTTCCTGTTCTCATGGGATTTAGGTTGAGATAGATTTTATCTTTCTTTTGAAGTGAGAGTTAGGTTATTAATTTTTCACCGTCATCTTTTCTATTCAAATTTTATTTGAAAATGAGGTTTAAAGCTCAGTCCTGCAGTACTGATATATAGGAGTAGTTTCACTGTCATTTGTTTCACAGTATTTTAAAAATTCAGTTAGGATTTTTTTCCTGTATTCATTGGCCTTTAGTTTTCATACATAGAGTATCTTTCTATTACTGATTTTTGTGTTGCATTCAGAATAGGTACCAGTTGTCAATGGGCATATCATGTTGAACATGCCCAGTCTTGTCAGAGTAGGTACCAACCGATCTGACATTTTTTGAAACTTGCATGTGGTCACCTGGTCCAGCCTGTGACTTGGATCTTATAAATATTGTGTGTATATATAAAAGAAAGCCTCCTGTGGTTCTCTGAGTGCTTTAGTTTTTTGCAGGACTGAGTTCTGAACGCAGTGCTTTGTGCATGCTGAGCAGGCTCTGTACCACTGAACTATATCCACAGCCCTTTGTATTTTGTTTTCTGGGGACTGGGTCTCCCTGAGTTGGCTAGGCAAGCCCAGACGTTACGATCCTCTTGCCTGAGCTTCCTGAGTAGCTGTGATTATTGGTACGTGCTGCTGCGCCTGGCTTTCATCCTACATAGGTTTTACCTGGGCATAGAGAAGTATTTCTTCATGTTTACTTTTCTGGGAGTTGGCAGGGCTTCATAACTTTGTGGCTTGCTATCTTTTAACCGTTTTGGAAATTCTCTTCATCATTTAGTATTTTTTTACATGGTACATCTGCCCTATTCTCTTGATTTGGGGGGGTGCTTTTTCACTTTGTTTGATTTTATTTCTGTCTGACAAATCTTTTATGTTTTTATTTATGTTTTCTAAGCAGTTACTCTTCAGTTCCTCATTCTAGATATTTTGTTACCTCTAGGGCCTCACACATGCTGGGCTAGCACTCTACCAATGAGCTACATACACCTCAGCTCTCCCTAGTCATACCTCTAATTATACATATGTCAGTTCTAGACGTTCTAGTCTTTTTTCAGTTCTCTACTAAAACGTTCTATGTTACCTTGCCTTTTTGAACATATTTAGCATAAAATCTGTGTCTTCTAAGTCCAGGTTCTAGAATGTTTGGGGTTGTTTTTATTCATTTCTGCTAGTTTTTATTTCTTTTTTCTTGTTGCTTACGTACCATTATGTCCTGGACATTTTGTTTTTGAAATCATCTCTTGAATTAAATTGAAGTTGATGTTCTCTTTCTCCAGAGATCTGGGGAGGGAAGGTTCTCCTGTTAGGTATTGGGGTAAGTAGCTATCTAAGTTCACTTCAGTCAGCTTTCAGTGGTTGAGATGATTCCACGCTCACAGTCTGTTTAGAAAGAAAAACAATAGAAAGAAAAGAAAAAGCCAAGCGAAACCCTGCAGCCTTGCAAGCTCACCCTTCTTTCACAGTTCCTGTCGAGCTCTCAAGCACGGCTGTTCTCTGTGGGCATCTCCAGCCCTCCTGGCCTCTCTGCCTCCAGGTGCTGTCCTGTTCCTGTCCTGGGGCAGTAAGGGTGCAGTTTGTCCTTCGGGGGCTCGGTGTGCAAACTGACAGGTACCATCCAGGCAGAGCGGCCTTGGATCCGAGTGCCGTGTGAGGACACCTCCGTTCATCTCTACTGATGTTTAGGTTCTGGCCATGTGCTTCTTTACCATTTCATTGATTCAGAAACTTTGAAGGTGATTTATTCATTTTTGAATGTTTGTTTAGCTCGTGTAATTGTCCTCAACGAGAACAGCCCATTTCTGAACTTACCACTACAGGATATGGAAGCATTTTACAAATTTGCTTTTTCTTTCTGCATTTATGAGTTAGTTTCTGTGATGTTAGGATAAAGCCCAGACCCTTTACATGCTAGGTGAGCAGTCTATCACAGAGCTACACCTCTAGAACCCCACGATCATTTGTGAGCAGAATATTTTCTTAAGGCCTGTTGCTGAGCTTTTCCCACACCTCATTACCATCCTTTTACTTGGAAATACTCTACTCTGCTTTTTGCCTGAGAGAGTTTAGTAGAATAAACTGCAACTTATGTGAACTTCGCATAAATTGGTGTAAAATATCGTGCTGACTTTTTTGAAGAGGTTTTTGTGATTAGCGTCTTTTCATTAGGAACTTCCCGTCTTTTATAAAGTAAGAAGATTGTCAGGATGTGGTGTTTTTGATACCTTGGCCGTGAAAGTTCTTGCCCACTTCAGCCGTGTTCACTTTCTTTCTGACCACATGAAACAGGACAGTCTGCAGTATTTTGTGGCCGTTCTGGAAAACAGCTGAAGCGGTGCCACAGCAGCCAGCCAGGAATGTTGCTGGACAGCTGGTCGCGCATGGTGAAGAGCCTGAACGTGTCGTCCTCGGTGAACCAGGCTTCCCGTCTGATCGACGGCAGCGAGCCTTGCTGGCAGTCCTCAGGGTCGCAGGGGAAGGTAGTGTGGAGTGAGGCGCTCAGGAGCACCTCCGTTCGGATTTTCAGCACGGGGTTTGCACAGCTGACATCTCACTGATGCTGCCCAGCAGTGCGCATTTTATGTTGCACTTCATAAATTGTTCAAAATTACAGAGTAATATCGTTGTCAAGAGATTTTAAACAGTATATTAGTATAACACATATTTACCTGACTGATCAGTTGATAGAGGATGTAGTAGGCTTTTTGTTTTCTTTTTCTGAATAAAATGTACAAATTCCTGTTTTGCTTGTGGTGTGGAGGTTTTCTCACACAGCCTCCCTTGCTGTCTCTCGTCTGCTCGCCTGTGTGGGTGCACCTCCGCTGGCCCACGCACAGGCTTGGAGAAGAGGCCGTTTTCTCATCTTTACTCTGGTGCTTTCTGTCATTGACTCTTCGTGGGATGACAGGGCTGTCCTTGATAAGGAGTCTATAACTATGTCATTTCTGGCGTTTAGAGTGAGACTTTCCTGTAACGAGTGATGATGGGGAGGAATATTCTGGTTTCTGCCAGGGTAATACAAAATTTTCTCTTATTATATTTTAAAGAAAGGGAGATTTTTGGGCATGGTGGTGCACACCTGTAAACCCAGTACTCAGGGGTTGGGGTGGGAGGAACGCTTTGAGTTTGAGGCCAGCCTGCACAATATAATGGGAATCTGTCCCAAAAAACAAAAATTCAAATTTCAGTGATATTATTATAGTAGCTGAAATATAGCCTGATTTTACTAACTGAGAATTTTCTTTTTTAAAGCATTGGATTCGTTTGGAGATTTTCCCAGATGTTCTGGTTCATAGATTAAAAATGATAGTAGATCCTGCAGACAGTAGCTACATGCCATCCCTGGTTGTAGTGTCAGGTAATTGAATTTATTTACTGAAAAAGAGGTCTTTTCTGTCCTTTAATAAGACGCCTTTGTTTGATTGCTGTTTTTTTTCTGTAGGTGGAAATTCCCTAAATAACCTGATTGAACTAAAGACGATCAACATTAACCCCACTGATACCACCGTGCCCCTTCTGAATGACTGCACAGAGGTGAGTGCAGTGGTTGTCCTCCTTTGGGGTGCTTCTCAGAGGACAAGGGAAATGGCTTCTGCACTAGCACTGAGCCCAATTTTCCCCTCTTCATTAAATAATATTTGTTTTAGAGTTTCAACGGTTTGTTTTATACAATTTGATTTGCTGTTTTTCAGAGCAGTTTCTAAAGGAGATGAAAAACAGAGTTCTTTTTGTTTCTCTTTGCACTTAATCTAGCCAAAAGGCTGCGGAGCAATCTGTTAGTCTTTGGTAACAGAATTAGTAAATGTGGCTAGCACAGGACTGAGGCTGCTATTCACATCACATTTTTTGTCTTTTTAAATATCTTAGTTTACGATGTTTTTTCTGACCATATCTGTGGCATTGAAATTGTTTTTTTGTTGTCACACCCTTTGGCATCAGATGCTGAGCTTGGCATGTGGTAGCAGTATTTCAGTTGGTAGTAAGGTAACTGTCAGGATGGATCCAAGTTTATTGTATCTCTTGAAAATTCTGAGAGAACCTGAGAGGATTCTTTTATACAGTGAACACTGCAGATCAGTGAGATTTTCTTCCTCACACCCTCAGCAAATCTTTACACAGAGAATACAGACACTATTCTAATACATTGAATGTAGGTAAAATAAAACAAATTCAGTTTTTTTTTTGTATTATCTGTGCTTTTGTTTTGTAGGACTGGTTTAATTGAGGCAATGATAGTACATAAAATTATCAATTATTTGATTGTTTTATTCATCCAAAATTTATTGTAGGTGAGGGATTTATTTTTAAATTGTTAAATGCAGCTGGGGTTGGTAGTGCACACCTGTAATCCCAGCACTTGGGAGGCTGAGGCAGGAGGATTGCCATGAGCTTGATGCCAGCCTGGACGACACAGCAAGACCCTGTCTCAAAAAACAAAAAACAAAAAAACCGTTCAGTGCAGTTCATCAGTCATTCTTTTTTGTTGTTGTTGTTTGTGGTAATCTAGGGCCTTAAGAATGCTGGGAAAACCCTCTACCAAGGCTACACTTCCAGCACTACCATTCCATTTTTTGGTGTGTTTTTCAGACAGGGTCTCACTGTGCATTTCAGGCTGGCCTTGAGCTCACTTTGTAGCCCAGGCTGGTCTCGAACTTGCAGTGATCCTCCTGCCTCAGCCTCCTGAGTGCTGGGATTACAGGCATGTGCCACCAGGTCCACCCTATTTTTTTTAAAGCTCTGTTTATTTATTTGTTGTTTACCGTACTGCGGATTAAACCCAGGGGTGTGCCACCACTAAATACATCCACAGCCCTTTCATTTTTATACTTTATTTTTTAGAGACAAGGTCTCAGTAAATTGTCCAAGGTTGCCCTCTGCCTTGCAGTCTTTTTGTCTCAGCCTCCCGAGTAGTTGAAATTATAGCATGCCCCCTCCCCTTTTTCCTTCCCCCCTCCCCTCCCCTCCTTCCCTCTCTCCCTCTCCCCCTCCCTCTCTCTCTCCCTTTCTTCCTTTCTTCCTTCTTTTCTCCTGTTCTCCCATTCTTTCTCCCTTCCTCGCATGGTAGAAGGATCTGAATTCAGGGTCTTTACATTTAGATAGGGTCTCACTGTATCTCTGAATTACTCAGGCTTGGCTCAAACTTGTGTTGGGATCACAGGCCCGTGCCATCTTGCTCAGCATGTATATTTCTTAAATATCAATCTGTTACTCCATTCTCTTGGTCCATACTTTGTTTCATTTTATGTTTTATTTTTAATTGGCAAATAATAATTGTATATATTTATGAGGTACATTGTGATATTTCATTTTGTGATACCTTGTGGGACAATGAAATCAGGCTAATTGACATAGTAATCACTTCAAATATTTCTCTGGTGAGATTTAAAAATCCTCTCCTAGTATTTTGAAATATATAATACATTGTTTACTCTAGTTACCATTCATTTTATGACATGTTGATTAATATTTAATTAGCAGTGTTTATGAGTACGTTGACAAATTATAAAAATGAAAAATTCATTCTTTCTTTTTTTTTGGTACTAGGCGTTGAACTCAGGGCCTTGTGCTTGCCAAGCAGCATTGAGTATATCTGAGAAAAAAATAGTACTGAATTGTGGTACACGTTACTGTTACCTTGTTGCTAGGTGACTGAGTGCAGTTTGTAGAGTGTCTTATACTCTTAAGTACTTTTGTGTTTTAACTAAACCGGGAAGTATAGAGTTAATTAAATGAGCAGAGATTGTTAGCAGAGGTTTAAGCTAAAATATTTTCAATTCAAAAACAATTTAGTCTGTAATTTTATTTATTTATTTATTTGTTTATTTATGTAGGTCTTTTTTAGACAGGGTTTTGCAAGGCAGTTCAGGCTGGCTTTGAACTCCTTGAACTCACAGCAGTCCTCCTGCCGCAGCCTTCCAAGTGCTGGGATTACAGGCATGTGCCACCACACCCAGCCTTAGTCTGTAATATTTGAGAAATGCAAAATATTGTATATCATGGGCTGGGGATATAGCTCAGTGGTACAGCACCTGCCCGGCAAGCACGAGGTTGTGAGTTCAATTTCTGGTACCAAAAAAAAAAACTTGTGAGCAAAATACTGTGTATATCACTTAGGTAAGAAACATGAAACATTGTGAGTAAATGGGAAACTCATGACCCCCTGCCCCAGCCAACTGAAAGACTAGAAAACTCCAGACTCTTTTAATAGTCTTTCTTGTGCGTCTGGCTTGTTACGAAATTTTTAGCATATAACCAAAGATGGAATACATACGGGACCCTTTTAGAGCCCAAGCTGCGACGTTTACCACTATTTTTCCAGTTGTGCTCCCTTCATTTTCTCCCTCCTGGTTTATTTTCCTCGGAAATGATTTTATTTCAGTGTCACTTACTTCACTATTCATTTCAACAAGGACTTCAGGTATCATTATTAAATCCAGCAGTTATTCTTTAGTGTCATATAATATCCAATCAGTGTTATTTTCTGGTTATCCCATAGATGTCTTTTTGAAGTTGGATTTTATGACTCTTGATTCAGACATTGTACTTTGCACTCCATTTAACTCTTAGTTGTCTTGCCTTTTTCTTGCTAAAGGGGAAAAAAAAGATTAGGTCTTTTTTCTTTCCTTTTTCTCTCCCTCCCCCGCCCCCCCTCTCCTCTCCTCTCCTCTCCTCTCGTCTGTCTCTCGTCTCTAAGCATTGAATACAAGGCCTTCACACTGAGGCACATTCTCAGCCTTTTTTAAAAATTTGAGACGGGATCTTGTTAAGTTATTAAGCTTGTCTGGAACTGGAGATCTTCCTTCCTCAGCCTCTGAGTACTGGGGTTACAGGCCTGCATCAACATGCCTGGCTAGCATTCTTCGTATTCTGACCTTGGCTTTTGCATTGTCCATGAATGTTTGTTCAGCCTGTGAAATAGGTAGATATTGAGGTTTGGTCAGGTGAAGTGTAGACACTGAAAAGAAATTGTTAGTATTGTGGGCTTCCTGCCACATCACTTGTTCACCTGTCACATAAGGATAGAAGAACATTGTCAGGGCACCATAGGAACGCAGCTTGCCATGTACAGGGTGTGGACACTTGCAGAGTCAGCACATGGACTTTAACAAATGATGACACAGCAGAGGGGCTTTGGGTCTTGTTTTATTTTGGTTTAAATAGTTAAACAATAATCCAGCAGTGAAATGTTTATAGTACAATGAGAAGTTTGATTGCTGTAGCATGTTAGATGACATAGGAATTATTGTTTGAGCTATGATAATAATGTGGACATATTTTTTAACAGCCTGTAGCTCAGTGGTACATGCTAAAGTTTTGAAACAACATAATACCTGTAGTGTTCTAATGATAATACATACATAAACAAGATTGGTGATAATCAGAGGGTGATAATTGTGAATTGGGTGATGGCTTATGGAGTTCTTTGCACTTTTTTCGCTAATTTCTGTATATTCAAATATTCTGTTGTGTTTTAAAAATTATGAAGGCTGTGTGACTGCCTAACATTCTCTTTGTGAAGTAACACATCTTGATTGAAGAGAACTCTGAAAGAGAGTGGTTTGCCATTTAGTAAGGTTTTCATCCTGCTTAGCTTTAGTAAGAAAACTGATACAAGTCCGAACCACAAGTAGACACATTTGATAAGTTAATACCTTCCTTTGAAGGCAAACCGTATTTGGATGTGTTATATTTGCTTTACTCACTCAGCTGGCATTTCTAGAACGTAAGGAGGCTGACGTTCTACATGCTTTACGTCTCAGATGTCCTGCCTCTCCAGCCATAGTATCACATGTGCTTGAGTCTAAAAAGTGTAGCTTGTTATTTCTCATCTAGTATCACAGGTACATTGAAATTGCCATAAAGCAGTGCAGGAGCTCAGGCATCGACTGTAAGATCCACGGGCTCATCCTCCTGGGGCGCATCCGTGCAGAGGAGGAGGACTTGGCTGCAGTTCCTTTCTTGGCTTCAGATAACGAAGAGGAGGAGGATGACAAAGGCAGCAGCGGGAGGTGAGAGCCAGGTGTGACTGTGCTCGCTTAGCTTCACGTCGGTCCAGAACCCTCTCTCACGTACATGTTAGATCAGAGTGTGTTTTACATGGGCAGTAGGCTTGTGTCCACAGGTTTGTTTAGTTTACAAACAAAATTTAATTGGTATTTTTAAGAAAATATTTAAATGTATGATGTTTTTAAAAATACTGCTAAAATGAAAATGCTTTCTTTTTTTCCCTGAAATATCACCATACTCTTTTGGTATAAACTCGTTGTAGTTTTTTTTCCCTATTCTAAATTAATTTCCTATGGAAGTAGTATGGCATATATTATAGCTTGTTTTGGATAAGTATTTATCATTACTTTTTAAAGAAAAGTTTATTCACTTTTATTATGGTAAAATATACATAGTGTATAACTTACCAATTTAACTTTTTTTTCCTTCAGTACTGGAGATTGAATCCAGGGCCTTCACGCTGAGCTGCATGTCCAGCCCTTTTTTTATATTTTGAAATAGAGGCTCACCAAGTTGTTCAGGTTGGGCTTGAACTTGTGATCCTTCTGCTTCAGCCTCCCAGAGTGCTGAGATCTCAGGCATGAGCCACCACACAGCTCCCTTCTAGAGGTTTTCAGTGGAGTTCAGGGGCACAGCTGTCGCTGTCAGCTGTCTCTAGAAGTCTTCTGTGTAATTTTGTAGTGCAGCATTTCATCTTAGGACTCGCCTCTCATTTGGTCAAGTTTGCCCTGTGTATGAGTGGTGTGGTGTTACTACCCAACTACTCAGCATGCATGTGTCAACATGTATCTGCTGTTGGCCAGTCCTGTGGTGAATGTGTGAAACAAAATCAGACAAACTTAAGTGAGTGCCTTGCTACATCATTGCCCAGAAGGCGAATGCATGTGCCTTGAGGATCTGTAGTAGAGCACTGTACCTAGATTATACAGGACAAGTCAGTGTTACCGAGAAGAGTAGGCAAGGGGCTGGGGATTTAGCTCAGTGGCACAGCGCCTGCCCGGCAAGGGCAAGGTCGTGAGTTCCATCCCCGGTACCGGTGGGGAAAAAAAAGAAAGAGTAGGCAGGTGAGGGTGCTTCTGGTAGAGGGAACCAAGTGTTATGCCAGGGGGTAGCAGCATCTGTCATTTGTGCATTTATTCCAAGACGTGTGTGCTCTAGGTCCCGTTTACTATTACAGCAACACATAGTGTAGATGATCACTGTCCTTACCTGTTGTATCTTCCTAGAGTAATTGCTGTAAGTGAAAATGCTAAGTCAAAGGGTATGCAGAATAAATTTGTACGTTTTGGGCTTGGACATGCCTCAGTGGTAGAGTGCTTGACTAGTATGTGCAGTGGCTGGGGCACGTCAGAAATGAAGTCTAAGTGGGTGTGTTTTCATCATTTCCCCAGGCACTGTTGAGTTGCTGGTGTGGGCTTGGCACTGCAGACAGGCACCAGTGGCAGTCGGCATGCTGGCCTCATCCTGTTGACTCAAACACCTTTGCTTAGGTTCTTCCCAGTGTGTGACGTGGAGACAAAGGCGATTGTCCACTCTGATGTTGGGCGCATTCCCATGGTCAGGAGTGGGCAGCTGCTGTGCTGAGAAGTACTCCAGGGCTCTCTCGTCTTGGCTTTAGAGTCAGCCCTGTTTTATTTCAAAACCTTTTGCATTGCATAAAAGTTGACAAGATACTGCCTTACCTAAAATATATTAGGCTATATGTCAAGCTGATCATATCTACACATTAATTAAATGAAGAAAACATCCGTTCATTTAAATAAGGCAGTCAATTCAGTTTTACATAATTGAATGCATTAACAGAAGAAAACCTAGATATTTGAATGTAATTTTCTTCATTAAAAACTTGAGGGTGAATTGGTGATCCACGCAGTCTCCCATAGGCCGGCACCCAAGTGGGATGTGCCCACAATGACTTCATGCAGCTGACCTTCCCTTCGAGGGGTTGATAGTTAGATGGTGCCAGGCATTAAGTGTTCTGAATGTCCCTCCTGGTTTCTCATCTGTTTTTGTTTTTTTTTAATGTCTTTTTGAGACAGGGTCTCGCTATGCAGTTCAGGCAGGCCTTGAGTGCACTTTGTAGCCCAGGCTGGTCTCGAACTCACAACAATCCTCCTGCCTCAACCTCGCGAGAGCTGGGATTACAGGTGTGCGCCCAGCTCTCATCTGTATTTTTGACCAATAATATATCAGTACCTTCTACATAAGCTTGTTCTTCTGTGGCTGATATCACATAAAGTTTTCCTAAATTTTTACTCCCAAACCATAAAATTTTGACCCTATGAGGTAAATATATATTAGCATATAACATTTGAAAAAGTCTTACCTATCTAGAACCTAGTTTCCGGAGTCTTCAGTCTTCCATCTTAGCTTGCAAAAATAGATCAAAAGCTTTTTACTAAAAAGCTAAAAATCCCACATGTAAAAGAAGCAGTTCCTTAGACTTGGCTATCAAAGTACCGACCAGAAAAGAATCTAGCACTATCTTGTGTATTTTTGTGGCTTCAAATTCAAGAATTGGAGCATTTTGCCTGCTGTCATTTACCTTCCCCAAGAAGAGAGATCAGGGGATGGGATGAACAAAGTAGGAGGAGCAAGTCTTCTGGAAAAGCAGGGTGGTGAGGACCAGCAGTCAGGCCTCCCGGCCCGTGCTGTGGGCAGAGGGTATGAAGGAAGAAAGTGGCATTTGGCTTAAACCCCTGTCTGTGTTAGAATACTCCCAGCATATATGGATACGTCTATTTTAATCTTTCTTTGGGAACCAAAATGGCCAGACATGTGTCCAGGTTTAGGGACATTGTCACAAGGCCAGTCCCAGGGGCAGTTCTTGGTTCTGTTTGTAGTACTTGTGCATTTTGTTGACAGGTGTTAAAATAGTTGCTGTGTTCAACTTCATATTTGAGAAGAAAAGGATGCACGCTGTACCCAATAAAGATCTCTACCAAAAGTGAAAGTGTAGGAAGCATACAGGTGCCTGGAAATTTTGACTCTCTGGGAGCCCTTACTCCTATACAAATTTGAGATTTTATTTCATTAGGAAAAAATTTAAGAGTTTCGGACAGTAAATAGCAAAGCTTTTGAGTGCTTGAATTTGCTTTCCTTTTACGTCGTGAATGTTTTATGTTGAATAACCTCTGTTTCTTTGTTTTCCTTTTTGGTTAGCCTTATTAGAAAGAAGGCTGCGGGGCTAGAATCAGCAGCTACAATAAGAACCAAGGTGTTCGTGTGGGGACTGAATGACAAGGACCAACTGGGCGGGCTCAAAGGCTCCAAGGTATCTCCCCTCTAGGCTCAGCACCCACATCACTCCCACCTGAGAACAAGAAGGTGTTCAGACACAGCCTGTTTTCAATAATAGTTTCACCTTCTGTATGTGGTTTTCAAAATTAGCTTTTAGAAGGTATTCTTAAACTAGTGGATGTCATCAGATTTAGTTTCTGAGAAGCCTCTGTCCTTGGACAGTAATTGCACTTGTATTTCTGTAAACTAAGGGTTCTGAAAAGGAGTGTGTAGATGAGCACTGTGGATCTTGCCTTCAGGACATTTTGCTTACCAAGTAATTTGTGAGTAAGCAAGAACAAAGCACTGTGTTAAAAACGCCGTAGTGGTAAGAAGATGGGCAAGATAGGATGCCTGCCTGTTACACACCGGGTGCCTGGATGCTTGAGGGTGAAATAGCTTCTGTAGAGAGAGGATGCTCTGTGAACACAAAGAAACAAAACGTGTGGATACACACTTGTCATCTTTGAGGGGTTTGTTGTAGCTAGAGACTTTCATGTTCTCATCCTTCTTTTTTTTTGAGACAGGGTCTCACTGTATACTCCAGGCTGGCCATGAACTTGCTTATATATCCCAGGCTGGCCTCAAACTCACGGCAGTCCTCCTGCCTCAGTCTCGCAAGTGCTGGAATTACAGGCACGCACCACCGTGCCTGGCTCATTCATCTTATTAATAAACCATGGACTCACGGGAAGGCTGAGCTATTTATCCCATAAATAGTTGGATGAAAGGTTAATTTGAAAAGTATTTATGTTGCTTAGAGATTTTTTTCAAAAAGAACAGATAGAACCAGGGCTGGGGATATACCTCAGTGGCACAGCGCCTGCCTGACAGGTGAAAGGTCCTGAGTTTGATTCCTGGTACCCAAAAAAAAAAAAAAAAATAGATAAAACTAGTTCTGCATTTGAACTGGAGTTGAGTTCAGTATACCCTCTATCATGCAGTATCGGTTGTCTGAGTAGCTCCAAAACAAATTCATCCAAATTTCAGTACCTGGAAACAGTTTCTCATTTTAGAGGACTGAATCTGCTTCCTTTTTCTGTTCTGCTAGATATCATCTATCTCAAATTCTCTTCTGACCTGCATTATTGAGAAACTAAGATGATTAGAACGTACTTCTTTGAACACTTGACCCGTCGAGGTCCAGCTAATTTTTATTTTTATTTAATTTTTTTTTATTTTGGTCCAGCTAATTTTATCTTTTACTTGGGCAGCCTTGAACTGCATTTGTATGTTAGGATCGCTCACCTTTGTTTTGAAATGAGCAGTTGCAGTAGGCTCTGGGTGTCTCAGTTGTTTCCTACCAGCGCTGTCCAGTGAGTGCTCACGGAGGCGTGGCCATCGTTGGGACCTGGGACCCAGACTGTCATACATAAAGCTTTCGTATGAAGAGCACTCAGAGGCCCAAGTTGTGATGATAAACCTTTCTCTTACTGTAGGAATGACCCTCTGATTATTTATGAACCTGTCTAAAAGGTTTCTTCAACAAAGGATTCCAGGGATTTTAAATTAAATCGCATCCACTTACGATGGAAAATATAAGCACATGATTTCTTAGAGTTGTCAGGGTCAGAATCAGAGAGAGTGAGCAGGACTTGACCTTTTATTTTTACCTGTATGCATTTATTTTATTTTTCACCTTTTATTTTGGAAGTGTTCAAATGTACCCAGGTAGAAAGATTAGGGTTGTGAGCCCACATGTCCCTGGTACTAGCTGTAGCAGTTAGTAACAGCTGGGTATGTTTTTGTCTTTATTTTCTGCTCATTCCACAAATACAGTTTATTTTAAAATAAATTTCAGTATATCCTTTCATTCTTAACTTTAGTGTTAAAACATGTGGCTAATATAACCTACAAATTTACAGTGGTTCCTTGTAGCATGTTATTTAAAAATTTTAAATTGCAAATAAAATGCTTTTTCTTTCTTTTTGCTTTTTTTTAAAAAATATTTTTCTAGATAAAAGTCCCTTCCTTCTCTGAGACTCTGTCTGCTTTGAATGTGGTACAGGTGGCTGGTGGTTCTAAAAGTTTGTTTGCAGGTACGATTATCTTAATACTAGAAAAATTTAAAAATTATGCTTAGCACATACGTAAAAATAGCTTTTGCATTGTGGAAAATCGAGTTTTCTCCATCTGTGCTTCTTTGCAGTGACTGTGGAAGGAAAAGTATATGCTTGTGGAGAAGCCACCAATGGCCGACTGGGCCTGGGCTTGTCAAGTGGGACGGTTCCTATCCCACGGCAGATCACCGCCCTCAGCAGTTACGTGGTCAAGAAGGTGGCTGTTCATTCAGGTAAGGGCAGGCACCGACACTTGTGGTGGAGTAAATCTGTCGCTTTCAGGGTGCAAGTACCTAAGGCCTATCAGTCATTTTCCTAAGGTGTCCTTGCATTTTTTTTCAGATTTTACCTTAATTAATAGAAAGAAATACTGGGTAATGTAAATCCCTGGTGATCTAGAATTTAATTAGTGCTACAAAATTAGGTTTTTGAAAACTGGCACTGCAGGTATTTCAGTCATGTGAGTGTACCCCTCCAAGGATAGGTTGTTCAGTCTTGGAGCCATGGTCTTAGGCCCATTGTGTCAATAAAACAATTAAGTTCTGAGCTTAATACGTTTATTTTTCTGCAGAAAGAGTCTGACTTGTACCATATTCCCAAAAGTATCTATGAACCTCAGTGATGAGAAAGACTGTTAAAAAGACAGCCACTCTCCTCTTTAGGGCAATTTTATTAAATGTTATTTTGAAGCACAGCATTCAGTCTCTGAGGAGTGGAACTGAAGTAGCTACAAAGCTCAGTTTATGCTCGCACCAAGTGGGGTTAGATACAGTGTCATGTAATAAGGAACCCAAATGATAGTGCCCTAAGCAAGATAGAAGTCTGCTTTGCTCCTCTGTGGAAGTCTGTGGGGAGTGTCTGGGCTGTCCATATGTCCTCCCTTCCTAGTGCTGGGGGAAGAAGAAGGCCTGCTACTGTGGGAACAGTGGCTTGTCCTCCAGTCCATGCAGCCTGCTGCAGAGTGTGCTGTGGGCAGGGAAGGCAGGAAGAGTGCTTGTCAGCTGAGTACTTTGCTGCCCCTTAACACTGTGGGGGTTCTGTTAATGAGGAAGTGGGGAGGATAAATGTGGGGACTAGGGGCCCTGCTCTGCCACCCTTCCTCCAAGCCCCGGGAGCTAGGGCTAGTTTTCAGAAGACCTAACTTTTTAGCACCAGTTAAATTCCAGTCATGCCTTGGACCCTGAGGGGTTAGGTGCATGGACTGGGAGAGCCTGTGTCCAGGAGAAAGAGCTGCTTCTCTGCGGGAAGAGGAAGTATTCTGTCTTGCTCGTAAATGGTGGTATTTCTGCTCAAACAGTTCCACTGTTTGGTACATTACTCGGAATCTTAAGTTGCCACCATATGTGACAGTTTCCCCAATCACAGATGTACTTATTTTTACTTTTTCAGCTAAATTTTTATTTTTGATATGTTTAAAGAGGCACACTATTGATAATCAGCATTACTTTGTCTTACCCTTGCAAATAAAATTAGTTCGATTGATTGATTGATTATCTTTTTGAGGCAGGGTCTCACTGTGCAGTTTAGGCTGTCCTTGAACTTGGAGCGATCCTCGTGCCTCAGCCTCCTGAGTGCTGGGATTACCAATGTGAACCACCACGCCTGGCCTATAAAATTAGTTCTAGAGTTGAAAATTATATAGTTTACTAAAAGTTCATCTATTTTGCACATGTCACTAGAAAGCTTTCATAATAACTGAAATGTTGATCCTGTTTGCTCCATTTATTCAACACATGGTCATTGAGTATATGCTGCATGCCAAACTCATAGAGTAGTTGTGGTATGAACTTTCTGCACCTGTGTGAATATTGCAGGTGGCCGGCATGCTACAGCCCTAACCGTTGATGGCAAAGTGTTTTCTTGGGGTGAAGGTGACGATGGAAAACTCGGACACTTCAGCAGAATGTAAGAATATTTTTACTTGTTAATAAGAAACATACTAATAGTAACAGGGAGTGCCTTTTTATAGTTGTTTTGCAGAAAGTTAAAACAGGGTAGGCTATTTATGGAAGAGGAGCTTTAATTTTTTGATGTGGATCTGTTTCTGATTAACAGAGTATGTGATTTAGCGTCGCAGACTCTTAAGGCTTGGTAGTGAAGTCGGTGTATAGATCTTGTGTTGAGTAAAGGTAGATCAGTGTAGATGTCTTGCCTTCTTCGAAGAAGGATGAAGTGTAGCTTCATCTTATTTCAGGAACTGTGACAAGCCAAGGCTGATAGAGGCACTGAAAACCAAGCGCATCCGGGACATCGCGTGTGGGAGCTCCCACAGCGCAGCCCTCACCTCCAGCGGAGAGCTGTATACCTGGGGTCTTGGAGAGTATGGCCGGTTGGGACATGGCGATAATACAACACAGCTGAAGCCCAAGATGGTGATTATACACATTTTGTTGTTTATAGAAAGCATACCATCTGATGCGCTCAAGCGAAATCAGCCTTGAGTCTGGAAAGTTCATAATGGTGTGTGCATTATTAGCTTTCAGCGTGTGAGGAAATGTCCCCGTTCTCAGTGCTTGTGCTTGACTCTGGCTTTCAATTTGCAATTGAGTAGGTGAAAGTCCTTCTTGGCCACAGAGTGATCCAGGTTGCCTGTGGAAGCAGAGACGCACAGACGCTGGCGCTGACCGATGAGGGTGAGTACCTGTCGTGGAGCGTGCATTCTGGGTGGCTGGGGTGTGATGAGCCCAGGCCTGAAGTTCTTATCTTTTTCACCTAGGTTTGGTGTTTTCCTGGGGTGACGGTGACTTTGGAAAACTGGGCCGGGGAGGAAGTGAAGGCTGTAACATCCCCCAGAATATCGAGAGGCTAAATGGCCAGGGCGTGTGCCAGATTGAGTGTGGCGCTCAGTTCTCCTTGGCTCTCACTAAATCAGGAGTGGTGTGGACCTGGTATGTGGACCTCCTCCTTGTCTCCAGGGTGTCTGTTTGCACGAGCCCTGTGTAGCAAGCCTCAGCTTTGGCGCCTGGCCCCGCCGGGATGCTCATCAACTGTCATTTTCTTACTCATCCAGGCATCCTTGTCTTGTTTATTTTGAGTTGCAGTTAGTGACAGTATTAAATAGGTTATTTTGAAAAGAATATCAGAGAAATTTTAGTGCACTTGTCTGTCTTATTTGGGTGAGGTTTATGGAGAGGGTTTCTTCTGCTGGCTTCCATTGTAAAAAGCCTAATAGCCTAATGAATGATAAAATGAGAATGAGACAGACTTCTGAGTCCTTTGATTCTGAAAAATGTTTATGTGTGATTCTTATGAAAGCTTATTTTATTAAAGTGCCAAACACTGGGTACTGGGCTGGGGATGTAGCTCAGTGGCACAGCACGTTGCTTGGCACATGCAAGGTTCTGAGTTTGATTCCTGGTACCAAAGAAGGAAAGAAACTAGAACAAACACTGGGTACCCCTACCAACCTTGGACAGTGTCAATATTGTGACCAGAGGCAGCTTGAAAAAGACATATAGCATATAGCACTTTGGAAGGAAGTGGGCTTGTGCCTTATTTTCAGTCTCTTTGAATGAAAATCTATGATACTAATATAAATGTACTGTAAAGCGTGTATTACAATACAAAGGATCTTGCTAGTTGAATTAATGATGGTTTTAGGATGTAAGTTCAGAGACCTTGGCTGCTGTATGTGGTGGTATCCCTGAGCTGACTCTGAAAGATGTGAAACAGTGAGTGTTTTCTTTTATAGTATTGCCAGAGTACAACTGTGCAGTAACACACTGTTGACCTTGCAGGGGGAAGGGGGATTACTTCCGGTTGGGCCATGGCTCTGACGTGCATGTGCGGAAACCACAGGTGGTGGAAGGACTGAGAGGGAAGAAGATTGTGCATGTGGCTGTTGGGGCGCTGCATTGCCTGGCCGTAACAGACTCGGGGCAGGTAAGGCTGCAGGTGGTCTGGAGGTGCGGTGGCTCTCTAAAGTGCTACTCAGGACATTACTCCTACTTTGTCCAAGTTGTAACCTTTAATAAAATGAGTCTGGTACCAGAAGAATCATGAGGGTCGGACAAGATCCATTGTGTTTACAGCTGTGTCTGCCTGCTCACCAGCCAGGTTGAGGGCAGGGCCTTGGGGGAAAGAGTTGTTTTCACTCTGAATTCCTTGTGGGAATGAGAAAATGATCATTGCTAGTACTACTTTAGCTAAGCTGTTAGCAGTATTTTACTTTAGAGAGTTGGTAGATGATGGCGGAGACAGCATCATTTCAGAAGTAAAGTTAGTAGTTGATAAACATTGCTCGTTTTGCTGCTTTGAGAGGTATACACTGTGACTGGACTGTGAGTGTCATATTTTAGGGTTCGTTTATGGAAACGAAATTAGCATACTGTTTATAATCAGAAATGAATTGTAGTTCTTTTTTTTTTCTTCTGGTACCAGGAATCGAACTCACGACCTTGCGCTTGCCAGGCAGGCGCTATGCCGCTGAGCTAAATCCCCAGCCCCATGAATTGTTGTTCTGTAAGGCAAGAAGCACATTTCTTAAAAATAAACATGGTGGTTTTTATTTTTCTTTGTAAAATAAAGAAAAAATAAATTACTACTCTTAGTTGAAAGAGAGGATTCTCTTTGCATTCTGTAACAAAACAAAATGGATGAATTAATTAGATTATAGTAGATATGCAATTATAGTTGCTGGGAAGGATTTTCATGGTTATATTGCAGTTCAGATATGCCATTTTATAAGATTATGATACTATTTTTTACCATTAAGAGCTCAATTCTTTGAAGTACCATGGAAGATACTTTTAAGTGTTTTCAGGTAAATTTAAAGAAAATGATCTGAAACATTGAAATTTGTTTCTTTCTTCCCCATAAACAGGTGTATGCTTGGGGTGATAACGACCATGGGCAGCAGGGCAATGGCACAACCACAGTTAATAGAAAGCCCACGCTTGTGCAAGGCTTGGAAGGCCAGAAGATCACACGGGTAGCTTGCGGGTCATCACACAGCGTAGCATGGACAACCGTGGATGTGGCCACACCCTCTGTCCATGAGCCTGTCCTTTTCCAGACTGCAAGAGACCCTTTAGGTGCTTCCTATTTAGGTAACACAGATTTTTATCTTCTCTGGGATCCTTTTGCTAGTGATAGCAACATCGTAGATTGGTTTCAAGGTGCTGTTTTTATTGCAGTGTTGCAGGTTGTTCAGTGGTGCTGTGCCACCAGGGCACAGAAGCGTTGGTTACATTCTTGTGTGATGTATCCCTGAATGGAAAGTTTGTGGAAGAAAATACCATGCTGATTCTTGTCCGGGGCTGCTTTGAATTTTTCTAACAGCTTTATTTAGTTATTGACACATAGTGAGCTGCACCCACTGAAACATGCATTTTGATCAGGTATGAGATACACATGCACCCGAGAAACATCTCCACGGAGGATTATGAACAATGCACCACACCTGGTGTCTCCTTCTGCCCTTCGCAGCTCTTGCCTTCTGCTCCTACCTCTCCTCCTGCACTCCTATAATTGCTGACGTCCATTCTGTCCCCAGTTTCCATAGTTTAGAATTGTATAAATGCAACCCTACTGCAGGTACTCTTTTACCTTGTACATTTTACTAAGCATAATGTAAGAATATTTTTGGGTGTCAGCCTGAGGCATGCTGTGTTAGTCAGCTTTCTGTCTCTGTGACAAAAATACCTGAGAGAAACAGTTTAAAGGAGGAAAGGCTTACCGTTTTGTGGTTCCAGTCATGGTTAGCTGGCTCCATTGTTCTGGGGCCTGGGGCAAGGCAGTGCATTGTGGTGAAAGGGTGTGTTAGAGCGTTTCTCAGCTCTCCTTGTGGTAGCTGAGAAACAGAGCAAGGTTGTCTAGTGCTGTTGTCTATAGGCACTCGACTCCAGGGCCTTCAGCCTTTGGGTGGGGACTTCTGTTCCCATGGTGGGGATGGAGGAGCTTCTCTGCCTTGAGCCTCAAACTGCAGCAGCCCATCATCGTTACTTGGATAGAGGGGTCAGAATCAGTATACTACAACAGGAAACAGTTGCAGAGATTTTTACTTTCTTATCCCGGGCGCTGAAGGTGTAGAGTTGTCTCTGATAGTCTGTCCAGGCCACACGCCTTTAGGGCATGTAGCACTCACACTCCGTGTGGGCCTTCCTAGTACCCACACTCAGAACTAGGCCAGACCAGTCAGTGGGCTGATTTAGTGACCACACACACTTCATCCCAGCATCACATACTCTGCATTCAGCCACCTCTGGAAAGCCCCACCTATGACTGCCTGAGCCTTTGGGGGGAGCATCTGGACACAACGTGTAACAGTCATTTTCCATGTGTGTGAAGGGCTTCCTTTGTTGTGTCTCATAGAATACATGTGTCAGTGATTCTTTCATTGAGCATTTTAAAATCTGAACTAATATATATTTGGCTTTATTTTGTAGGAGGTCTTTGCTGGGTATAGAATTCTAGTTTGATAGTTTGTTTCTTTAAGCACTTTAAAGAAGTTGTTCCCCTGTCTTGCTTTGTTTTTATTGATAATGTCTGTTCAGTGAACTCTTTTCTTTGTTTTTCTCATGTCTTTTTGTCCTTTTGATGTCATTAAGAATTTTGTCTTTATTCCTGGTTTTGACCAGTTCGATTGTGCTGTGTTCTGGCATGGATATCCTCATGGTTCTTGATTGTGTGGTTTGTTGTGCTCTTGAATCTCTGAGTTCGTAGTTTCCATTAAATATGGAAGACTTTCTGTCGTATTTCTTAGGTTTTTTTCCTTGTATCTTTTTGCCTCTTTCAAGAACTCTAGTTCAGTGTACATTAGGTCTTTGAAGCTGTCTCCAGGTAACTGCTGCTCTGTTCATGACTTACATTCTTTCCTATTTTATTTTGGATCGTTTAAATTGATATATCTCCAGATGCACTAATCGCTTTATTTCCTAATGTACTATTAATATCACCAAACTAATTTCAGTCTTTGTAGTTTCCTTTTTAGAAGTTTGATTTGTGTATTTCTTGTATCATCTCTGTATCTAGTTATCTTTTTGCACATATGAAATATAGCTGTAATAAATGGTTTAATTTCTTTCCTGATTCTAACATCCACTAGTTCTGAGTTGTCTGTTTGAGTGAGTTTTCTCCTTGTTACTGTATTGTGTATTGTGTTACCTTTTTTTGCTGTTCTGTTATCAAGTGATCTTTGGCTGGACGCCATACATGAACACTGCTCTGGATGTTCCTAGAGGATTTTTATGCCTATAAATCTTGAGCTTAGATGCATGTAGAGCAGTTTGATTATTTTTATTCTTGGTTTTAGATTTGTTAGGTGAGTCCAGACCTGGGACCCTTTGCCTGCCACAGAGGCAAGATCCTTCTGGGTACTCTTTTCTAGTTCTGTGTGAACTCTGAGGCCTTCCAGTCAGGTGCTGACTTGGGCTTTGTGTGTTTGCTGGGTACTGTGCCTTGAATTTTTTCAGGCAGCAGTTCTTTTTGGCTTTGGACATCTTCTCACTTACGTTCCCATTTGAGTCCCTGGCTAGGGTGAGAGAAGGCCCTTTCACCTTTGCAGGGCTTTCTCTGGGCAGCCTTTTTTCTCTCTGGTCCTGGCTGTTAGCCTGTGGCCTTGTTGGCCTCCCTGACGGTTAGCTCTGCCTTCTGCACTTAGAGAGCTCCAGGCTGTACCTGGTTTCCTCTTTCTGCTGAGGTATAGCAGCTCTCTTCTTTCTTTGTTGTTCTGGGGTTTTTTTTTAGTATTACATTGCAAGGGCAAGTAAATACAGGTAGATAATTATTGTACCATTTTCACAGCTTGTGTGTATATGACATAAACTTTTATAAATGTATTTTTAAAAAGTGTTTATAACTTTTTTACAGTTCTAGTGAACCTTTGCTGAATATAGTTTTTTATAAAAGTATTGAGAATTTGTTTTTAACTCTTGAAAGATTGTCATTGAGCCTGACATATACTCTAGGAAGTAGCACAGTGCAGCTGTAGTGTATTTGGGAGCTAACCTAAAAAGTCAGACTTTATAGAGGTAAGCCAATCCCTGATCTTAAAAACAGATTTTTTATTTTTCCATTTTTAGGTGTGCCTTCAGATGCTGATTCTTCTGCTGCCAGTAATAAAATAAGTGGTGCAAATAATTCTAAGCCAAATCGCCCTTCTCTTGCTAAGATCCTTCTGTCATTGGATGGTAGCCTAGCCAAACAGCAGGCCTTATCACATATTCTTACAGCACTGCAAATCATGTATGCCAGGTAGGCTACATGTTAATGTTTGAAACCCTAAAATCATGTAAGCTTTGTGCCATTGTAATACTTTGATGAACCTGATATTTCAGACAGGGTTGTGTTGCTGTTTTTAGGTGCTTTGAGTTGCCAGACACATATCCTGTGATGATCTTTGTGCTTGTCCTAATGAATGTTAAAATATGAATCTGAAAACTTCAAGTTAAGGAACGTTGTTGTTTTTCTTTTTGATAGTGAATTCTATTAATATTTGAGGACAGAGAGGAAGAATTCACTTACAGTAATTTACAGCGGTGTTTATGATGACATAAACTCCTCATTCACTTGATAAGGCTGAGTTACGATACTTGGTTTTTGCAGAATTTTGCTGTCATTTTGGTCAGCCTGTATTAGTCTCAACTTTCCAAGACTGTAACCACATACTGAATCTGATCAGCTCATAGAAAGGCAAGATTTGTTTTGGTTTCAGCCCTGATTGCTTTGGGCATGTGGCAAGGCAGCACATCATGGTGGAGCACATGGCAGAGCAAAACTGCTCACCTAATGGCCAGGAACTGAAAAGAGAGAGAAGAAGGAGGCTCCCAGTACAGAAAGACCCCCTCTGGGCAGGGTTCTTCCCTTCACAGTAGTGCCACCTAGAGGACTCAGCCGTTAGCACATTACCTTTGGGGACATTGCAGGTCCAGACCATTGTACAGCCTCAGGGAACTGCCATCTATTAGTGTGTCATGGGTGTGCACCTGGCAGGTGTACTTACATAGGGACGTTAGTTTCAGAATAGAGCCCAAGTCAGTGACTGAGAAGACATGTTGTCCTTGCCGCCTAGACCATGACCCACTTTTAGTAAACACGGAGTCACTTGATGTTTAATTCTAACAGCAGCCCACGAGAGTTTCTTAGGGTGAACCATAGGCTCATTCTGGTCTGGTTCATACGTGGAGCAGTCTCACCTGTTATTCCCTTGATCACTGAAGTGTAGCCAGGCGTTGGTCAGCAATAGTGATACCTTCTGGGAAGTATGTTGTGTTCGTGTCAGTGTAGTTACACAAGTAGTGCAGTTATACAAGGTGAGCTGCCTGTGAAGTTACTAGGCAGTACACTCCTGTGAGATCACTGTCATATGCAGTCTTGTTGAACAAAATGTCATTATGTGGTGCATCACTATAAGTAAGATCTGGAGCTTGTAGCCAGTGGATACTTGGCAGTGATGCCCCGGATTTTTGCAAAGCTGTTTCTACCATGTATCCTGTTAAAATGGGGACATGCTTCCATGAGCATTCATCTCACCTTGCTGCCTTCTCTCATGCTGTAGTGAAAGGGCAGCTCACTGTGAGCCTGACTTCCTGTTCCCACAGAGATGCAGTGGTTGGGGCCCTGATGCCGGCAGGCATGATCGCCCCGGTGGAGTGCCCCTCGTTTTCCTCATCAGCACCACCTTCTGATGCTTCTGCCATGACCAGCCCCATGATTGCAGAGGACTGCATACTGGCCATTGATCTGGAAGACAGACTGAGTCCCAGTCCGTGGCAAGAGAAGAGAGAGGTAAGAGTGAGTCCTAAAGCAGTATGTGTTAAGTCAGAAGGGAAAAGATAGCTTTTTTGTGTCTAAGAAGAGCTCAATCATTTTGTCACTTAAGTTACAGGTGTTTTTATACCCAGCCTTTAGATTTTGGGCTTGAGTTATAAAAATATACTAGTAAAAAGATATTTTTGAATATTGAAATACAAATTGATTTATTTTTAAAAAAATTATTAGATGCAATTTTGAAACCATAAAGGTCTAAAATGTCATAAATGTTGTAACTTGTTTTTGGGAAAGACTCACTTTGATGAGATACAAGCTCATTTTAATCTGATTCAGGCGAGCTGCTAGCAATATTAATAGTTTTCCTGGAGATATGAATTGATTGAGTTCTGCAGGGCTGCCCCAGGCCCAGTGTGGGTAGCAGCGGACATACTGTATATGTGCTGTGTGGTCTCTATCAGTCTGGAGCAGCCAGACAGCCCCAGGTAGATGAGATGAAAGTACCCTAACCCTTTGTAGGGAGTGTGTCATATTGCTAAGTTTTTCGACTCTCCTGGTGTACTCTCCATTAGATTGTCTCCTCCGAGGACGCTGTGACCCCTTCCGCAGTGACACCATCTGCCCCCTCAGCCTCCTCTCGGCCCTTCATCCCTGTGACGGATGACCCTGGAGCTGCCAGCATCATTGCAGAAACCATGACTAAAACCAAAGAGGTCAGGAGGTGCTCTTGAACTTTTTAATGTGAAATCTTAAATGGACACAGAAGTCACAGGAATTGTATTAGAGATAGAACATGGGTACTCCATTGGCTGTTCAGCTGAGTTCTCTAGTTACTGGCATTTCTAAACCATCTGTGGAAATGCTAGGACACAAGCCTGTGTGTATTTGAAAACGAGGATGTCACAGGGATCCTACATCCCTTCTAATCCATAGACCTATTCAGACGGTGTTCATAGTCCTAACAGTATCCTTCTGGGTCAGCACCCAACACAGCAATGTGTGTTGTTTTATTACTTTGTAATACTGAACAATCCATTTTAACAAAATCTCTACGTGAACAATGCAGAGTTCTGCCTTGTGCATTGGCTGCATTTGTGGTTATGTGACTCGTCCCTTGGTTAAGAGTATTTGGTTTCTCCCCTGGAAGTTAATGTGCTAACTCGTTAATGAACAAGTTCCATTCTAGGGGAATGTTTGTAAGTGAGATTCGTCTGTAAGTCCGACATAGTGAGCCATCCGTGTTTAATACAGATACACATTGTAAAGCTTAAAAACGAGATTCAAGGTGTGTTCATATCTGTGAAAGTTCACAGCGCGAATGTTTGCAAGTTGGGGACTTACTGTGGTTGTGAGTAGCTGTGAAACCGTGTAAGTGAGAGTCTAATAATGACTGTAGCCTAATCCAGTCATTTTTCAAGCCAGCCCTGTACCATTGAGCTATATCTCCGGCCCTGTCATTTTTCAGTTACCATCATTTCTTAAGGAGTTTAATTATTGCCATTCTTTTCTAAGGAAGACCTTTTCCTGACTGTGTATCTTCCACTAACCTACTTATTATATTGATGTAGATTCAGTAATTCCTATTTTATTCCAGTAGTGACATTAGTTTCTGCCATCATTTGATACCCAAATTACCCTGCAGTTGGCCATTACACCTCCTCTGGACTGACTCCTTAGTCTTTCTGAAGTTTCCTCAGAATTCCTGGAGCATTTCCTTATTTTCTGGCATAATAGTGTATTCTAAACTCATCAACCTGCCCTGCGCTGTGCCGCTCTGCTCTGGAAGCAGCAATTTCTCCAAGGAACTCGGGTTCCATTTAGTGGTTTGCAAAATTTGGAAACAGAAATATGCACTTAGTAATCTGATTGCTACCTGATGTCTTTGGCTTGCTCCTCTCAGCAGACAGATACACACTTGCATAAGCACTTACTTCTCTTTCTCTATATTGTCTGTGTAATAAAAACCGTGGACAGATCAAACCAATACTCTCAAACCAGGCCAATACCACAGAGTGTATTTCCCTCCTTTCTGGTTTTTGTTGTTGTTTGTTTGTTTTGGTGTATAGTCCTTTTATATATTACTGGATTTCATTTATTACTGTTTGGTTGGATTTTGGATCTAAATTCACAAGGGCTGCTGATCTGTAGTTTCTTACAGTGTCTTTATCTGATTTGGTTTGGGTATTAGAATAATACCAGCTTCATGGATTGAGTTCTGTAATGATCTGCAAAGGATTGGTGTTAATTCTTATTTAAATATCTGGTGGAATTTTATCTCTCTCTTGGAGCATTTTTTTGGTTTCTAGCTCAAAATTTCAGGATCAACCAGGTGTTTTATGCTCCAGTTTAGGAATCAGATGCTCTCCCAAAAACGTTTTGCTTTTTTTTTTTTTTTAATTGGCAAATGGTATTTAGAAGCTGAGATTTAGGGTCGTCATGTGCTCTTTGCTGTTGGATGATAGAACTAAGGGGTGTGTGTGTGTGTGTGTGTGTGTGTGTGTGTGTGTGTGTACACCATCACTTCACAGCAGTACAGTTGATTCTAAGCCAAGTAGTATTCACTGTAGTTTTCAACCTTTCTGTATTTACAACTCTCTTCTCTCACATTAGAAAATCAGGTTCCTGTCAGGTACAGACTATTTACTTACAGTTCAGTTCCAGCCTGCCATCTTGGCTGCTACCTACCCTGTGGGCACTCTTCTCTCTGTGCATAGACGCTGTCACTCAGAGCCAGTCTGCCCTTCCTGGGGACTGCCTCTTCACCTTACTTGGCCTGTGACTCCCCTCATCTCTGTTCCTTTGTCCTCGACCGTGGCACTGTCTTCCCTTGACTCACCACACCGAGCACCTCATATGCACACCCTTCACAGCCCTACACCAGGCCACCTCACCCTCCTCTCACTTTCCGCTTTGCTAGTCTGTTCCCCAGTGAGGACAAACATGCATTATTTTTTACTATATTTGAAACCCAGATTTAGTGCACTGGTACTGATGGCAGAAAATATGTCCCTCTGGAAATTATTCATAATCATTGGTAGTATTAAGAAAACCACCATAAATTAGGTCTGTGGAATCAATTTCTGATTTCTGGAAATCTCCTGGGATGAGGATTTAATGCAGAAATTATTCTGAAGAATTAGAATTTTTGCTTTTAGGTAGAAGGAGGATGATAAGATTTCTTTCCTACACATTTGTTTGAAGTGTAGGTATCCAAGTTATACTCTTAAGTTCCTATCATTTCTATTTTGGTTTGATTCATAAATTATGGCAAAGTAATTTTCATGTTAGCATTGGGCTGCAATTCATGTTGAAAGGGGATGCTGCTGGTACTTCGTGCTTTTTTAAACCAGTCCCTGTAAGCTATTTCCTACTTTCTTTTTAACATAGCTGTAAAAAAGATTAGGAACATTTTAATGACAACATTGAATATATTATATGTAATTAACGTATTCCACTGGATGCTGTTGCTGTTCTTCAGCGACTCATTCTAGAATGTTGTTGTGTCTAGTGGATTTCACTTACTAGCTCCCTGGGTCTCCAGTCAAAGGTCTGCTCTCTAAAGGGAGAGCCTGTCCCAGCTCAGAGAGATGTGGTTCTGAGGATATAGCACATGGGTCGCATTCTCATTAGGACTCCTGTGTGGGCTGTGCTTTCCTTGCTTGGTTTTGTTTCTGGAATGAGTTAAACTGGATTTGCTGAGATCTGGAAAGCAGAAGAATCACTTCTGACTCTTGCTCTTTCTCTTGTGAGCTTGACTCTGCTGGGAAACGTGAAAGGCTGATGGTCGCCCTGTTGTGCGCAGAGCCGCAGTGATTCCCACTCAGCAGCCACAAGCTGTGAGATGCCTGGCTCTGACGCCTGGGTTGCCATCCTGCTTCTCAGGGCGCCAGCCCTTCGGCTGACCTCCAGGGGGCTGTCGTGTACTGAACAAACCAGGTGGGGGTGTCCCCCCCAGTGAGGTGCTGCATAGTGTAGGACCTGGGGCTGGCACTCAGCAATTAAGTGGGCTTCTTTCCTCTACTATGAAGGATAAAAGACAAATTACCAGCCCTGTGGTATATTTTAGCTAATGTGAGGATGGGAAGTAAAGTAGTAAAAAAAGAAAGACTTATTTTATATATTACCTTTTTGAAAGAGCCCAAGGATGGGGCTGGGGATTTAGCTCAGCGGTACAGCGCCTGCCTGGCAAGCACAAGGTTGTGAGCTTGATTCCCAGTACCGGGAAAAAAAAAGAAAGAGCCCAAAGAGCAAGAGATTAAGGATAATGTGTTATATCTAAATGAGTCACTTTAAGTAATATTCTGGAAAGAATTACAGAGAGAATCTAGATGAAATATGTAAAGTTACACCATCAAATTTAGTTGGTAGAAAGTTCTCAAGCCTATCTAATGGGTAAGGGTTACATTTCCTATAATGTTTATGATATGTTTAGTCACAGTAGTAACCTGTTATTTCTTTATAGTTTAAAAGCATTTGTCTTTGACAGATGTGTTGGTAACTTGTGAAACAGTTAACTGATTTAGAAAACAGTACAGTGATACCTTTGTTTTTGAACTGAATTTGTTCCAAATTTGTGTTTGAACACTGAAAAGTTTGAGCACTGAATGTATTTTTCCCATAAGAAATAATGAAAAACTAATAATTAACACTGAATTACACTTATAAATTCATTTTCCAGGACTTTAACAAATTTCACAGTAATTTTTTTCTTTAACTCTTGTTATGGGTCTTAGCTTTACTAAGTTTTCTTCTTAGCTTTACTGCTAGTACCACTAACTCTCTTTGGAGCCATAGTTACAGTATTTTATGCACACAAAGCGCACAGAAAACCGCAGTGATGAATGTTTTAATGCACTAACACAAACAGTGTTGTGTTGGCAAGAACAGTGTTTAAACCGAGAGTCGCTCCTTTGTGTGTTTGACCGGAGGTGATTTGTGACTCACACTCAGGTGGTGTAGATTTTTTCAAGTCCGGTTTTCGGTTTAAGTAATGAGCAAGGTTGTGAATACAGAGCGGATTTTCTTTCAAACTTCAAGTTGTGGAAATGCAAGCTTGGAGCTGTTCGACAACCGAGGTATCACTGTACCTGGCTTGGTGGAGATATTAAAGGCCTGGCATTTCTTAATTGACCTGGTTTTTCATATCCCTTTGTCACTGGTGACTGTGTCCTCTGAGTTCATATAAGCTGGTGACTCTGACTCTCATTCCTCATTTTAATTATCGGATATCATTAATATAGGACGTTGAGAGCCAAAGTAAAGCGTCAGGCCCAGAACCACAGTCCTTGGATGAGTTCACCAGTCTGCTGATCGTGGATGACACCCGTGTGGTGGTGGATCTGCTCAAGTTGTCTGTGTGCAGCCGGGCTGGGGACAGGGGCAGGGAGGTGCTTTCAGCTGTGCTCTCTGGCATGGGCACTGCCTACCCACAGGTGAGTGGTGGGAACCCCGGCCCTGGCTACCTCCTCCATCTCCTTGCTCCATGGTGGGCCAGCCTCCTGTACAAGGGACACACTGCTGTTCTTCACATATGATTTTATGCATAGTTTAAAAGCATTCCTTTAAAACAAAGTGATTTGCTTGGTGGTAAAGCACTTGTCTAGTATGTGTGAGACCCTAGGTTGGTGCCACAGCGCTGTAAAAAAGAAAAGAAAAGAACAACAAAGAAATTTAATACATCTTTTACCCATTTTAGAATGATTTGTGAATCTTATTCTTATTGATTAGTAGAGTTCCTTAAATAAGTCCCTTTTCTGTCACATGCTTTGTGGTTTTACCACAAGTTTGCCCTTTGAGATTATTTTGGGCCGGGGATATAGCTCAGTGGCAGAAGTGCCTGCCTGGCAAGTGCAAGGTCCTGAATTTGATTACTGGTACCAAAATATATATATATATATATATATTTTTTTTTTTTTTTTTTTGCCATGCAAGAACTTCAGTTTTATGTAGTTGTAGCTGTCAGATTTTTTGGTTTTATTGTTTTTTCCATTTATGACTTCTGGATTTTATATTATACTAAAAAGATGCTTACATACTTTGTTTTAAAGAAATTCTCCCAAATTCTCTTCTAATCACATTTATGATTGCGTTTATTTTGTTTGCATGTATTAGCCATTTGGGTATTATCTTGATGAAAGGAATAAAGTATTGATTCCACTTTATTTTTTCATAAGTGGTAAACTAGTTGCCATAACATAATTGATGTAATAATTCATCTTTTCAGCAGTGATTTGAAAACTATTTTTATCTTATTCTGAATACCTGTATGTGTTTGGGTTTAGAGATTCTTTGTTCCACTGAAATAACTCTTGATTTAATATCACGATAGTTCAGCTATTTCATATTGTTGTATTTGGTAGCACAGTGTTCAGTAAGAGTTTTTGTTACTGTGGAAATGAACTGTGCTCACCAGACAGGTAGGGCGATTGAGCACTTGAAATGTGGCTAGTATACCTGAGGAATTAAGGTTTTCATTTAATTAATTTAAATTTGTATAGATGCGTAAGGCTGGTGACTGTCCAAGTTGATATAGCCTAGGGTAAAGTCAGTGTCGCTATCAGTATCTCTTAGCAGTAGGCTTGATCAGTCCTAGAATTGCAAGGCTTCTATGAGGACTTCTATTTATCAGCAGTATGATGCTGCCTTTTTAGGACTCTGTGTGCTAGGGACCCTGGGGTGGTGTTTCTGATTGCAAATATTTCATCTGTGTTGGTCAGGGTCTCACATCACTGTCACCAAAGCAATAATGTATGTCTTGGTTACTTTTCTCTCGTTGCTGAGGCAAAATATCCAACACTCAAAATAAGGAAGGAAAAGTTTATTTAGCTCACAGTTTGTACAGGTTTCAGGCCATACTCAGCTGGCCCCAAGGCAGAGTGGCACATGGCAGAGGACAACCATGGCGACGGAAAAACAGCAAAAACATCAAGAGCACAAGGGGGGAGCAGCGGAGGCAAGCAGCCTCTTTCCCTCCCTTACATTGTATGCCAATTATCCATCCCAGGGTGGGTGTAGCACTCACATCCATAATTTCATCCCTGGACCATGGATCAATCATAAACTCCAAAAGCCTGCCCCATGACTGCATGAGGCTTTGGGGGGACATCCAGACACAAACCAGAACAGTGTACGTTAAACACTGTCTAGTGGTCTTAACACACATGGTGGATGATATGGTGGACATTTTAGGGGCTTGTTATTTCGTAATCTTCCTCAGAAAGCTTTTAAAAGTTTAAAGTTTCCTTTCTGCCTGTATGCCTACATGACAGTGGTGTTAGATGTGACTGTAACTGGTAGACAAAACTGTTGTTAAAATGAGGAAAAATAGAATGAAAGAGTGGTTTATTCCTGAAAAGTATAGAATGGTCAGTATAGAAGGAAGAGGCTTTTTTTCTGAGTTGAATATTTTGAGGTGAACATATTATTGCTATTATTATACAGTCTCATTTGCTTTTTAAATTAACAATCAAGAAACTGACTAGTATTAACCACTTAAGTGGTATGAATCACCACTGGATTTGTACAATAAAATAAGGACGTTATGGATTAAGGAGCTCAGAAACCCTTGGTGTCCACATTCCCCCGTCATGTCACATTCGTGGCCTTTTCCTTTGAAATGCTCTGTGTGCCACGGTTGGGCCTGGTGTCTCAGCTGTTCCTGACCCTTGCCCCTACCCCTTGGCTGCCAGTCCCTTTTAGGGTTTTGGTAATTTCATTAGCCCTTTCCTCCTTTCTTGATGCTGTTCCTGAGACAGAATTTCCTCACTAGAAAGTAAACTTTCGTGTAAGAGGAACTTGTCATCGCTGGTGTTTTTTCAGTTGACCTGACCTGTGTCATATGTGAGGTGTCTTCCAGCTACTTTATACAGACTGTCTCTCAGCCTCACGGCACCTTTGCGGGCTCTGTAGTGTCTTGATGTGTGGGTGAGGAAATTAAGCTGAAATTTGAGTTAAACTTCTCAGACTCTTAAGTCTTTCACTCTGCCACTCTGCCACTCTGCCTGTGGAAGAGTCAGGGCAGGATGAAAGGCTCGTGTCCGGATGAGCAGAGCAGAGCCAGCCGTTCTGTCCTTTCCCCCAGGTGGCAGATATGTTGTTGGAGCTCTGTGTCACTGAGCTGGAGGATGTCGCCACGGACTCGCAGAGCGGCCGTCTTTCCTCACAGCCCGTGGTGGTGGAGAGTAGCCATCCCTATACCGACGACACTTCTACCAGTGGCACAGTAAAGATACCAGGTACTTGAGCCAGACCTTGGGGGGCTGCAGACCGCACTGCTGGAGTGCTGGGGTTTGGCTTGACTGTGCGATTAGTTCTGCTTTACAGAAATACATAGTAGAGTTATTTTGTGCTGTCTTTCTTCCCTTTTCGAAAGTACTCCTTTTCTGGAATAAAGCATGACAAGTAAGCCACATGAAGATGGTGGACCATCACTGAGTTGTACTTCTGGGCAGCTTGCGTTACCCAAGTGTGCCTCTTTCTCCTCCCCCTTCTCCTTCCCTGCTCCCCTTCTGTCTCCGCTCCCTCTCTCTGCCTCTTCCCCTCCCCCTGCTTCCCGCTCCCCGTCCTGTCCTCTTCCTCTTACCCCTTCCCACTCCTCCTCTCCCTCTGCCCTTCTCTCTCTCCCCTTCTCCCTCTC